AAGAAGCATGACTAATTTTTTTGCTGTAAGTTACATCATGAGCCGTGGAAGGTCTTTTTCTTATTGTAAATATCGTGAACATGATTAACTTCACACACACAGGGAAGAATGTGGCCACACCCCTCCCTCCTTGCGAACTGATGCCGAGTCCTTGGAGTGAATGACGCCCGGGTTACGGTCTTTGTGACAGGATCTGTCCTGAGCAGCGTTGCAGTCCTACAGCACTTTGTCCTGTGTTCAACATTGGAGAAGACACTGCATCCCAGACACCACTGAGATGCTGTAAAAATAGGATGGTTTTTAGTTCAATTCATAAAATTGGACCTTTTCGTTGTCAACATTGGCTATTGGCATCAGAATGGAAACCAACTGGCCGCTTTCCTTGACGAGCTCGACACGTGGACACCATTTCATGTCTGCAGCTGATTGTGGGGTATTGGGGGAAAAAATGAAACTTCACAATTGAAAACAAACCAAATGTCAGAAATTAAAATCGAACAAAAATAGCCTTTCTTTTCAGATGGTTTTCAAACCGATTAAGAAAAAGGAAGAGGTTAACAAAATCATAATGCATTTTGGGTGGGACATATTCAAACTTCTGCCTTATATTGTACAATGCAGCTAGAGAATTATAGTTCACTATGGCCATTCTCTGCATAAACAACATTAAAATGAAGTATTCCTCGTAAGCCTTTTGTCCTTAGTTTGCTAATTAGCCAATATGCAATTTGGAATTGAGGAAATGCCATTTATATTTTATATTGTTACCACACGTTATTTTGTAGTCCACCTCCTAAATAAACGTCTGCTAGGATTCCGCATCTGGCTCAGTCTTACCCTAATGCTTTTTGCCCAGAAAGCTGTCTGTCCATCATGTATTCCCATGGCAACAAATTACATTAAGTTGAACCTTTCTTGGATTTATGTCTTTACTATCAGAATTAGACTCCACTAGCTATATTTTTTAATTTATCTTTTTTTCATTATATTTTCAAGATTTAAAAATTTCATATCAGAGCAAAATCTGCATAAGGACAATGTACTATTTAACAAGTTTCCCAAAACTAACGCTTTCCTCCTCCTCTCTCTGTAGGTATGAAACTTAGCTGTAAGTCACAGACTTAGACGCTTGTTAACATTGTTTTAAAAGGAATTTGCTAAGGAGATCAATCCAAACATTCGTCTTACTTTTTAATGCCAACGTTAACATTTTACAACATCCAGTGATAAAAGTAACTGCTTTCTGTATATCCCCTGCTATGTGCTTGTCATATGGTTTCCACATTCTTATCACACTTGAGCCTTATAAGGTAGAGAAGGTACTAAACACATTTGAGAAATAGAAATATGAAGTACCGAGACGCTCAGTCTCCAAGCCTGAGGTCTGACCAAAGTTGGTGAGAAAACCAGGACTGGGACCCAGGCTTCCCCTCCCATTTGCAGGCTATGCCACTTCCTCACCAGCCAGAGCATCTTTACACACTGACTCTGGGCAAACCCAATTACGGTCAGGAAATCGTAGCGTTCCCTGTAGAAGTAGGAAATGTGGCGGAATTCCTCTCACTGGTATGAATTATAAAACCCTTGCCTTCTCGGCCCAGGGCTGTCCTGCAGGGTGCCTCTGGTGTGTTGGAGAAGACAGAATCCCAGGCGATTTTCCAGAGATGATGTTAGGGGTGGTGGAGATAGAACACGGAATGAGGAGTGGCCTCCTGCCTCTGTTCCCTCTCAGAATTCTGGAATTGTGGCTGGCACCTTCATGTTATGACAAAAAAGATGCCCCTCTAGAAATGAATTATACTTCTCACCAGCCTATATGCTTCTGTCTGAAGTAACCAATACCATTTTCAGAAATTACTGCATTAAGAAAATCCATACTGTGCCCTTTGAAAGCTTTTCAAATTCAATCATGATCCTCTTTCATCTTGATCTCCACAATGAAATGTTTTAGTATGATAAACTTCAAACTTCTGAACAACAAATCCACTTTTATATTGGAAATCTCTACCAGAACCCTGTGTTCATTTTTTAAGGCATATGTTTGTTTATTTACAGGACCAGGCATACTGAGCTAGCTTTAAGTAGCAGACTGATTTATATATGCAATTATAGGATACATTAAAATGAATGATAGCCTTTACATATTGAAAACTTTACTGCAGATGCTTTGTTTTGAAGGTAGCTTTGCATACGAAATGTGGTTAATTTTGTAAAGTTATGTTAAACAGTATGTTCAGACACTTTCTGCCATGGCCAAAAAGTACATATGAAAGTGTGTGTGTTTCTGTGCAGGGACACCAGTGTTTGACATGATGTTGTAGCGACACTCTGTTATCTATGCATTCTTTATGTCTGTCCTTCGGTAAACAGGCAGCCGTGTTCACTATGCCTTGTATGTCTTCTCATTTTTTTAATTAACCTGTTAAATACAGCTTAAAATATTTTTATTTATTCTATTTTTACTGAAATATACTGCATTATTGTGTTCATGTATTATCTTTACTGGATATTATCTCACAGTGTATCCAGGTCTACGTAATCTCAGTGAACTATTCGTTGCCTAAAAGGTGGTTTTGTAATGATTTGTAGTCACATTTTTATTGGACTATGTAGATGAAAATGCTTAAAGTTCATTTTATTTTTTACAAGCAGCTAGACAGACACAGACTTGCCACCTCATATATGTGCTCGTGGGCGGCATCAAGGGGAATGGCCAACATGCCTAGGGCTCAAGTTTTTACTTTGCAAACTAAAGCACTGCTCGGTGCTGCATTTTTATATCACAACGTGTGTGATCTCCTCCGAAAGAGGCACATGTCCACACGCCTTTGTTTCCACCCAGAGCTCATTTGAACCATTGTTTTTTGTTTGTGTCTTATTGCATGAAGGGACATTCTTCTCATTTCCATTAAAATAAGTTCTTGGTGATAACCTGTTGGCACTGCTACTTTTTTAAAAAAATTCACTTTATGACTTTATGATCGACATTGGTAAATGATTCTACGGAAGGTCATTTACTAGGAGCCTAAACCTTTCCTCCTTTTCTCATTTGACACACTTGTTTTTGTAAGCATTGCAACACGTTCAAAATTTCACAAACAACTCGGGAAACGTTTCCCTGGTATTAGCACAATTTAGTGAAACCACTCGCTCTCTGGCTTGCCAGACTGACCTCCCTACTCCACAGCTAACAGGTTGTTACATAGCCAGCAACATGAAGTGTATTTCAGCTTCAGGGGAACGCACTGCTCACACTTTATCGAGAGCTCTCCCTGCGACCCAAAGTAGCTTGTTTATCCTGAAAGAACATTTGGTTTTGCTTTCTTGCCCATTTACTGTTGACCACTTTTACACATTTAAATGTAATATGTTGTGAGAATAAACTTAGCTGCACAAAGTTTTTGGCTCATTTATCTGGCATGTCAGTCACATACATGCAGAAATAGAAATGTAAGTTCTCCACGATAGTCACTTTATTTTCAGATTATTCTTACCTCAAATTAAAAATTATTTCAGCCAGCCGGCGTAGCTCAGAGGTTAAGCATTGACCTATGAATCGGGAGGTCACGGTTCAATTCCTGGTCAAGGCATATGCCCCTGATTGTGGGCTTGATCCCCAGTGGGGTGTGCAGGAGGCAGCCGATCAATGGTTCTCATCATTGGCGTTTCTATCTCTCTCCCTCTTCCTTTTTGGAAACAATAAAATCAATAAGAATACATATTTTAAAAATAATTTCAGCAATGTAAGATTCAGTTTTGATTAGTTGTTGCATATTTCCATCTGGTAAGAACTAGAAAGAACCTGACATCAAAGAATGAAGAATAGAGTTGTACAGGCACTAAATCCCAAGTCAGGTAACTAGAAAAACAAATCGGTTAAATCTGGCTTAGTTGAAGTGTTAGACACGTGGAAGAAGGAAACAATTTAAAGTATGTTCCCATTCTTTGCTCATCTTACTTTTCCGCCGACAGTTTATCTCTTTTACTCTATCAAAGGCAGTTACTCTCAAGGAACAAAATTTCATTTTGGTTTCAGGTATTATATAATGGTAAATTTAGATAAAAATCTGAATTTGCTATTGGAATATCTACAGTATTATTTTAGATTTTTGCAACACCTTTCTCAAGAAAGAAAAATGTCAATGTTTAATACTCCTTCACTAGAATTCTCAAATATTGTTTTTATCCCAAGTACTTTTCCTTTCTGACTCTACCACAGTATCTAAATAATTGACCATGCCCTTCTTAGAAGATTCTCAAAGAAACCTGCAGGCTTAGTGAATGGTTTAATCAGGATCTCCATATACTTCTAAGAGAAGAATGATTCAGAGGCAGGTGCATGTTATGTGATTCTGAATGTAAGCGGCTAAAGTGACATGACATGAATCATGCTGCTACAGACATCAGAAAAATATCCTGAACTATTTCCTAACAATAAGAGTTTTCTTTATATAACCACAAAAACCTCAGACCTGCTATTTTTGGACAATGGAATACTTTTCAGCCTGGGGCAGAGGGCAGAGGGTCGGAAAGGGATAGAGGATTCCTGGGATAAAATACCAAACAAAGTTCAATTCAGCTGCACTCAGTTCCTCCCAGAGGCATGGAACACTCTAAGCCAGATGGAATAAGAGGGTGAAACACTATAACTTTTACAGCAAAGAAATACATAGTTTTTAACTACTGAAATTAGTGAAATAAGTTGAGCATTTAAAATATTTGTACATTGTAAGAATCATAATTAACATGGGAATCCTTTTGATATTGAAAATATAGTTTGGTTCAAATATAAAAAGTTTTGTTTCCTTTCTTCATTGGCACATTTCACTGATAAATGTAAACCTTCAGCTAAAATAAAAATAATTTATTACTACTAAAATGATATTCACCATTTTTTATCCTCACTTCAAGTGAGAAAATAAAGAATAGAACATTAAAACTGAAACAGATCTAAACATTCATCTGGAAGAGGTAATATTCTACTAAAATGCCACCTGAATTGAACGTTCAGAAATTTACATAACACTGTCCAACACAACTGGATTCTGAAAATAGAACTTTAAATTCAAACTTTATGAATGTGTCTATGAACATTTTTTGAACAATAGGATTTGTAGGTGTAATTTATTCCATTTAATGTCAAGCAATTTCTTTTGCCATGATGGGGAAAAAAAAATCAGTAGGCCCAGAAATGATAATCATACCAATTCTTGGTAGACAATTGATCATACAGTCAAGATTAATTGATTTTTAATATAATTAACATACTGCTATAATATATTTTCATTGTGCATCAGAAATGATTTACCAAATTTTGATTACTGTTTGCCATTTGACATGACTTGTAGATTTCAGTGTCACTTGTATTCAACAGTTTGCCTCTTCCTCAGAATTATTATTATTTAGGTGGAAATTTGCTTATAGTCACTGTTTTACAATCTTATTTGGCATAAATAGAAGGGAGGGCTGATTATGTCCGATCTGCGCAAGATCCTGGAAGCTCTTCCAATGAGAAATAGCGTTCACTCTACCTGGACATCTGACCTACCCACACCTGGAACTTTGGAGCTTTCTGTTCTTCCTACTCAGACTCAGCCTCCATCAAAACTCACATCATCCCTGGCTTTATGCATGTTTTAATATTTAAGAAAAAGTGAACCTTGATAGTGACTGAAAATGTTAAACTGTGACTGACTAGACACTGAAGAGCAATCTAAAGTCGGTGAGAGAGGGCCAGCATCTTTTCTACATCTGTGCTTTCTACTAAATTGCCTCAAAAGTTAAGTTAGGAAAAAAGCCTGTGAATAAGGCAGTGTTTCCCTTCAGGAAAAACTGTTGCAGTTTTCTTTTCAAGGTGGTGCCCCACTGAAAGTTAACAAGAGTGAGACAAGTTCTAACAGCTGCTGAGTCTACACGTGGACATTCTAGAACAGATCAGCACTGAGATGTTGAAATCTCTGAGTTTTGCTTTGCTTAACCACCTACATTATTGTGTTGTCTCACTTGTCTTAACTCTCTTGAAGCTAATTCACCTGTAGAAAGTGACACTAAGTGACTGAAAGGATGGGTATCTTGTGTAGGGCTGTCTAGCCTTCAGAGAAATATCACGCTGAAAAAACCCTGCTCTTGACCCTGTAGAAAAACCACCACACACACACCAGACAATCAAAGCCACGGTCGCCGATGTCTGAGGAAGGAAGAAGGTAAGTTTCCTTTAGGCTTTTCCCCTTTTCTGGCGATTGGTGGTGTGGAATGGTAGCCGGGCACAACAGTTTTGGGTGCAAACCAACCATAGTAAAAATGTTGAGCTGGTATATGAGGTCTGATCCCTGGGGGAGGTGATAATGGGAACATTACTGGAGGCAAAACAATCTCTACGGGTTTCAGTACCACCATCTTGTCTTCAGGGCGAGGTCTCACAAAGTTTGTGGGACGTTCATATGGTCTGGGGAGAGATGTGTTCTTCATAAATGCAGGCACCAGGGGATTGGCGGCAGGCTTGCTGGGTTTTCTGACCTGTGAGGAAGTACCCACTTGAGTTGTACCTTTCTGTAGAAGAGAGATTTTTGTCGTTGCTGTCTGTGACCGATTGGCATTTTCATTAGTTTCTCGGTTCAGGAACTCAGCAATTTTCACTTGAACACCTTTACTGTCAGTAGAAGGAGCTTTTGGAAATGCTGTTTTTGATTTTTTCTTCTTCTCCCGTTTTGAAGATTTACCCAACTCAATTCCCTCCAGTAGACCCTTTGCTGCAGCGCGAGCCAACACATCTTTCACAGACACTGTCTCAGATGGGTCCCGCTACAATAAAGAGGCAGGTACTAAATGTGGGAGTTGATTTAGTGTGTATATTACAAGTATTTATCAATGTTTCAGAAGAAGTGAAAGAGTACATTATACTAAAAGAAATAGTTTTTAGGCCTTAGTCTCTAATATATCCCGTAAGCCTCAGCAAATGACTTCTATAATTAAATTTCCTTATTTATGAACTTGACAGGGGGAAAAAAAAAAGAATGACAGAGCTTATTTCTTATATGTGAAATAAGATGAACTAGGTGTTGACAAAGTGTATGGAGAAGTGGGGATGGAGAGCAGGCAAGAGAGGAATACTCAGGAGAAATATAAAGATAAAAATAAGCGCTTTTTTTTGTGGCCACACAGTAATAATTCTTAGTCCTGCCTTTTAACTATGTATAAAATAAGCACACTATTAACAAAATGCTCAGAGACTTCCTGAGGATTTGTTGTTTCCTTACCTCCCTTGTTAGAACAGAAAGAAAACAACCATTGGTAATTTCAGATGGCTCCATTCTGAAGAATTTATCAGCAGATGAATGTACTTCCTCTAAGGAACACAGTGGAAGGACAGGAGGACTAAGCCTGCAGGAGATAGGAGCAAACAGGCCTAGTTAGAAAGGCTAATTTGCCAATGGAGAGAGAGAGTAAATTGCAACAAGTTTTCTTCTATTATGTTTTACCAGTCATTTAAACATAAATTCCAAGCTAGGATAAAATACTGAAACTGTACAATCCTATATAATAAAAGCATAATATGCTAAGTGTCTCAACCAGTCACTATGATACCCACTGACCACCAGGGGGTAGACGCTCCCACCGGTAGGTTAGCTTGCTGCTGGGGTCCAGCTAATTGGGACTGGGTGAAAGGGCCCAACACACCTGGAGCCCTCCCGTGGTCCCTCCCGTGGTCCCTCCCCGGCCAGCTGGCCCCGCTTGGCCCAGATCAGCCCAGGCCGGCCAACCTCCCACAGTCCCTCCCCAGCCAACCCCCATTGGCCCCAATTGGGACTGGGCGAGATGGCCCCAATCAGCCCCAATCACTGGCCAGGCCGAGTGCACGAATTTGTGCACCGGGCCTCTAGTACTATTATAATTTTAAAACTCTAATATTTCATGTTTACTCATAATTTAGTCTACTTCCCAAGTTCTCCACCTTTAAAAAAAACTATGCCAAAATACCAACCTTTTAGCAAGTTAAAAACTTCCCCAAATCATTAATGTGTTAACATCAAAAAAAGGCTCCCATAATGAAAACAGGTTAATATGTATAGTAATCACAAAGGCACAATCCAAAAAATCCTTTATTTCTACATGTTGTCAAACTACACCAGGTATGACTTCCTTCTTTTACCTTTTGCACAATTATAACATAAAAATTTGGTCTAGCATTTTAACTACATTTTTCTTCCCAATAACATTTTTAGAATTAATGTATGAATTATGTAGTGTTCAAGAAAGTACATAATAAAAACTTCATATCAGAAATAAAAAATTCTAATCACTAATATGTTGAAAAAAAATTCTTGGTTTTTGTATTTAATATTTAATTTCTTATTTAATAGTAAGTGGTTCATTCATAAATAAATAATTCTTATATTTCCATACTTTTACAATTAAAATTTATTTAATCAAGGCAAAATTTATATAAAAACTTTTCATATAAATTAAAATATCAGAAACTCTTAATAATTTTGTCTGTTATATTCTGAAATTTAAAACCATTTTAAATGTATATGTATTAATGATTTGCCTACTGTGCAAAGCACATAAATAAAATATTGATTCTCAGAAATGGTTAACAATTTAATTGTAGACATTACTCAGTTCACAATATAAAGAACCACAAATAAGAATGCTGAGCAAACTAGAGACAAAATTACATGGTAATACAGAATGAAATACAATCAACTCTGGCCATGGGAGACATCAAATGTGAAGATTTCACAGAAGTAGTAGCCTCGGTGCTATGTCTTTAAGAATATTAGGTTTCCAATAAGGTAAGGAGGTGATTCTAGACAGAAAGGAGAACATGAAAATGTCTGTTTGGGGTATGGCAAGTGTTTCCATGTGTCTGGGGCACACAGTGAGTAAAGGGATGGAGAGGTCACTTAGAATGTGGGCAAACACACATGACCTCAAATGACATGCCAAAGCATCTGGCAAATGGAGATGCTGTAATAATGCTTATGCTGAACTGAGCTGTTAAAAGACTAGTATAATAGTAGCTAGAGCTATATGATAAAGGCAAAAAAACTAGTTGCTCCTCTTGCCAATCTTATAACCAACAAACTGAATTTCTATGGCCTATTCATATATGTTCTCTATACATAGAAATAATAAAAAGAAATGTTTTCACTTAAAAAATACTCTCTGATAATAATAATTTCTTCCTAATTTGGAACATAGCTCCATAGTGTAACTCTGAAGGCTGGGATTTTTGTCAGTTTTAATTGACTGATATATTCCTAGCACCTAGAAGAGTGTCAGGTATATAACAGGTATTCAATAAATACTTATCTGATAGGCTATGATGTAGTTTAACTACATATACTAGTATGCTCTTTTTTAATGGCACTAGTAGTCCATAATTAAGATTGGTCAGGTTACCTTCCAGAAATGCCCTTCCAAAGCAAAATGATTTCCAAACCCCAGTTGACAGCCCATTTCTTTGAATAATTCATACCCAGAGTCTCACACCTGAGACGATGACATTTGGGATTTTTTGAGTTGATGATATCAGGATATTGTATAAATTCATTTGACTGAAATGTCTAGAATAGGCAAGTCCGTAGAGACAAAAGTATCTAAGTGGCTGCCAGGAGCTAGGGGACCAGGGGAATGAGAAGGGACTCCTCAGTGGGTTCGAAGTTCCTGTTTGGGGTGATAAAAATGTTCTGGAACTCGTGCTGATGGTTGCACAATATACTAAAAGTACTTCCTCCGTATACTAAAAAGCAGTGAATTATGCACTTTAGAATGATGAATTATTGTTTGCGGATAACATTTCAATTTTCAAAACTTATTAAAATAGGAACCGTTCCATATATATTAGTGTATATATTATCTATATACAGGCATACCTCATTTTATTGCACTTCGCTTTATCTCCCTTCACAAATGTTGCGTTATTTACAAATTGAAGGCAAGACCCTCCACAGCAAAAAGATCTCGACTCACTTTATTGTGGTGCTCTGGAACTGAGTTCGCAGTGTTTGTACACACACACTCATGCGGCTGATATTTGACTGGTACACACTATTGTGGCTATACCAGTGGTAATAATATATCTTCTGGTGCCCTCTAGCTGCCCCCGCTCTCCCAGTGCCCCCTCCACATCTTCGCATATTAGAGTGAAACAGAGGGTTACACCAGCTCATCAAGGGAACTCCAGGACCCTGTTCCAGCTGCTGGACATTTGGGGATTTGGAGGTGAGGAGCTATAGGAAGGTAATTATTAACCTTTTCATTATGCATCTTTGGGTTGTTTTACATGATACACAAATGTGAGTAGGGGTTTTGAAATTTAAAAAAAAATAATACAACTTGAGAAGGAAACCATTTAAAATTATAATAATTAAAGCATTGTTATATTAGAATAGAAATAGCCAAACATCAACAGAGTAGAATAGAATTACAGACACACAGAAGTATATGCAGGATTGTAACATAAAAATCCAGAGGCATTTTAAATCAGTAGAGGGAAGGAGATGAAGGTTCTGGGGTGGGAATGGAGCATTCTCTGTACTTTACTCCTTTACCAAAATAAACAGCAGCTAAATCTATTATTTAAATATAAAAATATTAAAGGAAAACTGGTAAAAAAAAATGTATAAGCTAACGATCAATATAACACAAGCCATAAGGAAAGGATTGATATACTTGTCTACACAGAAATTTGAGATTTCTATAAAGCAATTTTAATTAAAATTTTATTTTAAAATATCTGTAGTTCATATGAAAACAGTTAATATCCCTAATACACAATGACAAGGCACATAAAAAGAAGAAAAAGAGGAATGATACAGTTGAAAAGGTGGTAAAGAATATGAACAGGCTACCTTTATTAAACATTTGTTATGTGCCAGGCATGTTCATGGAGTTATATATTCAATCTCCACAAAGATCCGTTGAGGTAGGTAATATAACCCATGTTGCAGCCACCTTTCCTTCCTCTACTCCCACGATACCTTCTCCTACTTAACAAAAAGGCACTCACTTGCCTTGTTATAGTACATTGTCCTGCGACGTACTGCTAAACAAAGGGACAGCTCAAGAGTGCAGCTCTCTTCTCCAATGTCAGAGCAGGGTGAAGGTAAGAAATCTTTGATTTTGCCAAACACTGAAAAAGCTCTGTTCTTGAACTTCCTGCTCTCCCTCCCTCTCTTCTTTTCTCCCTTTTACTCTCCCCTCCTTATTTTCACATATCTATCCCTTAGATTAAAATTAGAAGAAACTCATGGGGGCATATATTAGAAAATATGTTTATTTGAATTAAAAAGTAGCCCAGCTGGCGTTGCTCAGTGGTTGAGCACAGACCTATGAAATAGGAGGTCATGGTTCAATTCCCAGGTTGCAGGCTCGAATCCCAGTTTCTATTTCCCTCTCCTCCCTTCCTCTCTGAAATCAATAAAAATATATAGTTTTTAAAAACTCAGACTTTTCTGACAAAGTCAACCTGGTTTTCACAATGACAACTAGCTTTGTAAAATAGGTAACAAATTCATCATTTTTCCATAAATTGAGAATAAGATAAATCTGCAGATACAAAGACTTAACGGAAATATATTTAAATCACATCTGTAATAGAACATTCAAGAAATAATATATTAAACAACTATTTAAACTTATGATAAAAAATATTAGACATCAAGTAGACAATATTAGACTTTAAAACAGAAAAAGTTATATAGTTATTTAAAAACATGTAGGGTATTTGAGAGAGTTTCTTTTTCAAACACTGCAAAAATGTTTGAAGTCTACTGCTCTAGAACCCTCACCCTTATTTACTCCACAGTACACTTCCCAGTCAGTAAAGAGCAAATGTGCCCAAACTCATTAGTAGATAAATGAAAATTTAATCAACAAAGAGATCTCATCTTTTCACGTCAGCCTGGTGAAAATTTAAAGTCTGATAAAACCCAGCATCTGTGGAGCTGTGGGTAAATAGGCTTGTAAGAGTGTATATTTCAGTGGGTAATTTGACAATACCAATTAAAACTTAAAATGTGCACAACCTTGTCAAACTGATAAGGGTTATATGGTTAAGTGGGATTTGGAAAAACTTATTCTTTTTAAGTTGGTATTTCTATAATGAAATAAAACTGAAGTTTTTATAATAGGGGCAGCAAAAAAAAGGTTGCATTGACATAGGTAAGTATGATGAGGCTAAAGTCTAAAATGAGGTGAAACTTTCTTGGATATTATAAGGAAAAGTTAGCAACAGGCGATTAGATTAGATGACATATAATATTGCTTTCAAACCTAAAGTTTACTACTTTGGGAATTAAGAAATTATTCTTAGAGACCATATAGTGTATTTCTCTAAGTAATTCATAATTTCTTTGACAGTATCCCCAAGTAATTATAGATCTCTTGAATATATACTCTTTAATTTGAGCCCAAATCCCAGATTATTTATAATATGTCCCTAAATATTACTTGTGTATTTTATACCATATTATATAGATTAATAATAATGGTTTATCTGAAATAAAATCTAGTGAAATAAAGTATGGGTGTTCCTCCATTTTTGCTATATTACATTCTTAGAAACCTTATTCCTAACAAGTGATCATCTATATCAGGGGTCCTCAAACTTTTTAAACAGGGGGCCAGTTCACTGTCCCTCAGACCACTGGAGGGCCGGACTATAGTTTAAAAAAAAAAAAACTATGAACAAATTCCTATGCACACTGCACATATCTTATTTTGAAGTAAAAAAAACAAAACGGGAACAAATACAATATTTGTATTTGCATGTGGCCTGCAGGCCGTAGTTTGAGGACCCCTGATCTATATTGATGAATTTGGTTATATATCTGCAATAATCCTTTCTGCCACTAGATGGTGATTTAGCCAATGCTATGTTGGAATCACTAGAACATAAGATTGGCTGTTAGCTACCAACATAAGTTACTAAATAAGGAAGGGAAATACAGATGTGATTAACATGTCCACTTGTGAATGGACAAAGGAAAAATACCAAAGTAAAAGAAGGAAGCAAACCATATGCATATTAAGACTCTTCTATAAGAATTAAAAGAAAATTTCAAAACATGAATAATAAGTAAAAATAGGAGCCCTGGTAGGAATGGCTCAGTTGATTGAGCATCATCACAGATAGATTCCGGGTCAGGTCACATGTCTGGTTTGGGGCTCAATCCTAATAGGGAGTATACAGAAGACAGCTGATAGATATTTCCCTCTCACATCGATCTCTCTCCCTCCCTCCCTCCCTCCCTCCTTCCTTTATCATTTCCTCTCTCTCTCTAAAAATCAATAAAAACATTTTAAAAATAGAAGGAAACATTTTTAAATACATTATTGTCACAGACTTGAAGAACTAATTGGTGTTGGAGAGCCTTATATCTACTCCTTATCTTTTTTTCTACTCCTTATCTTGATGTACATAGTTCAATTGTAGTATTACTGTTATTCTTCTCTATCCCCAGTTCATTGCAACATTTTACACAGAAGTTACTATACTAGTTATTTAGGCTATTTTTACCTCAGTCTTGCGGGTGCCAAAGGCTATATATAAGGGTCTAAGAAATGGATGTTTTCAGATAATAAATATCCAATTTTCTCTCTAGTTTCTCAGGATATTTTATATACTTATTTTTCTTCTAACTGGGGAATGGATGTATCTAATACTCAGGATATAAAGTTTAGACTCAATTTTTCCAGAAAACAATAAGTCAAGGCCAAAATGGCTTTAGCTTTAACAATAACAACATAAATCTAGTGTACAAGAGAATGCTCATACCAAGCCATTGTAAAGGCTCTACAGAACTGATGTTAATGTTATAAGAAGATGGGTGACTTGGGCATATTAAAGTCTAAAAAAAAGGAAATGGAATATCTTCAGAAAACTTAGAAAATCATAATTTTTCACTTTTAAAAATATTTGGTTGAGTTATTTAGGAGAATCTTGTCCTTTCTTACCTATAAGGTTGTATTTTGGTCCCATGGTCTTGAAATTCCAGTGCTTTCTTAACAACAGCTTCGTTTTCTTCTGGATAAACTGAACATGTGCAGTAAACAACTGCTTGAGCTTTAGTAACTACATTTAAAGAAGATGTAATTAACACAATGACCCCATTACCAATTCTAAACAAATGTGCTATGTTTCCAGACCTCTGTTTGTACTAATACTGCATCGCTTCAATGGCAATGATTTCCATAGACATTTGCATGGTTCCCCTGTATAGCACATATTAATTATGTAGTCTGTGGCCAAAAAGTAAAGTAAATCTAACTGTTTTGTATGGAATTGAAAATTCAATCAATATGACCAACCTAGTTACAAACACCAACAAATAAATACTACGGATGACCATGAGCGATTACTTCTAGCCACTGTTCCACAAGCCATATCATATAACTAGTTAAATGGACTCTGGAGATAGACAGACAGAGATGTGGATCTTAGTTCTGTTATTTACTGCTGTCTAAACCTAGGAAAATTACTGCAACTCTCAGATTTTTCATCTTTAAAATGAGGTAATGCTACTACCTGCAACTCATTTGTCCATACTTACCAAGCACTGTTCTAGCTATTGGAGATACACAGACAAAAGTCCCTGTCCCTGGGGAGCTTGTTTTCTGTGTTTTACTGACATAATAAGATATAAATAAGCAGGAAAAGTATAGTTAGATAATTAATGCCATACAAAAAAACAAAGCAGGTATGGAGGATGTCTAGTTTCAAGAGATGATACTGTAATTTTAAATAGAATAAAATAGTCAGGGAAAATAACCATGCAATTTAGTTACCCACTTTCCAATCTTCTATCCAACTTATTTCATAGATAATATACACAGTTATCATGTTTAATGTTTAGTAGCATCAAAAGGGCAGACCTATTCTGTGCCTTACATTTTGCCCTATTTCTACCTCATGATGCTATACCCATGTGTATTGAATTACCAATACCCTATGAAACCGAGGGTCCCTATAACTTTGATTAAATTTAGCTTTAAGTCCTAGTTCTGGAAATTATATCCCTCTAGCTATATATACACCCCTCAGAGACCTAGCCTTTCCCCAGGCAGCAGAAGACAAATCAGGCTTGACTAATGGTCACAAGGTCTAGACCTCTGGCAGGCTAAAGATAACATTTTGACATAAGTTTCAGTTCCTGAGCCCTAAGGTGGAACCACTCTCCAGCTACTTTCCCAAGACATCAAAGGGACACTAGAAAATAACCTCAGAGCCGCCCTTAAGACCTGAGGAAATTATTCTTTACCCTTCACCTCCTACCAATCAGCTCCCAACATGACCTGGAACCAAAGGTGTCTTGAGATTTTGCCCTTTGTCTGTCACCTACCCATCCTCAAGGAATTGAGGCTTTGAGCATTAGCTTCCTGTTCTCCCGGGTGGCACCATTTATCAATAAAGTAGCCAGTATTTCTCCACTGCAATTCTCAGTGTCTAGTGTTTGGCTCTATTAACACCGGGTGGAGGAACTCTTTCTGTCTCTAACACCTATACTTACCTTTGAGTAGGCATTTGATAAATATGCACTGAATTCATAAAAACGTATATAATTTCTTAGGCACTTTTAGATTTCCATGCCCATGTGTATTCAGAATCTAAATGGTACTTAAATCTGAATGCAGTGATTAAAGAATTTTATTACTCATAGACTTCAAATCAAGAGATCTAGGCTTGATCTGTAATTTTCTCTCTCTATTCTCTACTTGGCAGTAAGAGAAATAAGAGTTTAATTAAAATTTGGATTGTATAGAGTTGTTAAGAGCAGGCAGTGACAACAGAAAAATTACATCAAGTAAGAAGCCAAAGAGAAGGAATAGAGAAGATGAAACTACCATAATGGATGCACATAATTATTTTACTTCAGCATTAAGAAATGTGAATTATGCTTGCTAACCTCTGTTAAAAATGATAGCAAAGCATATATTTTTTAAAGACTTAAATTGATAAAAATAAACATTTTGTTACTTTAAGGTGTTAAGACTGAGTGTTCTGGGAAATTCATTATGGTTCACACCTCACTGCCTGGCTATAATAGAGAAATGGAGTATTGATGCTTCTCAAATGACAAACATGTTAAGACTGAACTGATAAACTTACATTTCATTGCGTGTGTTAGCTGTGCATATTGCTGTTGAGCAAGAAAACGAAGTTTATCTTCTGATGTGCCTCCTTGAGAGAAATCTTTAAGTAAATCTGTATCTAAAAGCAAACAAATGTTTTAAATTATATCACTATTACATGTTTTCCATATATTGCTATTATCACATTATTTATTTTTTGATCATTTTCCCTCTTAATGAAAGTTTTCATGGAAAATATTAAAACTAAATAAATAGTATTATAAAAATGCTGACTTAAATATTGAAAACTAAGTTGACAAAGATAATTTTTTTTAGTTTTAATAGTTTTTCTTTTTTCTCCAAACCCCTATGAGATAGCCATTTAACTAGTCAAATAAGTCTTTAGGTACAAAAAAGAGAATGCTGTCAGCTTAGAGACTAATAGAAGAAAAGATAACATTTATTTTCCCAGGTAGAAACGATGACCTACAGTCTAAGCTCAGTACGAAAAAACACAAAAGAATACAATTTTAAAAATTAACTTACCAAAAGAAATTTTGGATGAAAAAATTCAGGGAAACAAATATATGCCTTCTTAATAGATCAAGAAACTATTACAGCAACATTTTAATTTCTGAAGCTAATGCTAACATATTTCTTGATATTATTAGCTAAGACATATTGAATGCTACTTTATATAGATTATTTTATTCAACAACTTTTAACATTGAGGAAACTGTGTAAACATACATTAAACAACTTGTCTAAGGTCACATAGCTACTCTGTTGAGCCAGGATTCTAGCTCCAAAATGGACCACAGAGCCCAAATTTCTAACCTCTGTATTGTTCACCTCTTAGTAATTCCCTGGATTGAAACAGCCAATTATTTTTACCCCATATTTGGCGGTTCCCCACTCCAGTAATATCACTGAAGGTTAATTAAACTCCATTTCTTTTCAATTTAGTTTTACACTCCACATCTTTCTACCTGTTCTAAAATTATCCACCACTTTTTAAAGGACTATTTATACATTATTACACTCTAAAACCATACAGATTACCTTTTCCATCCTATTTTAAAATAATTCCAAGTTATTTTAAACTTCATATATTCTTCAATGGTTCTAACGGTTTTCAATGTTTTCCAAAATGAATTCATGATTGCTCTCTTCCACATATCATCTAAGTCTGATGAAACATCTTTTGTATTCATCCCCTAAATTCATGGCTACTGTTTCTACATAGTCATCAGGTCAGCAGCTCCTTGTTTGCTTTGGCTATGATTTCCTCAAAGTACAGTTACCTTCAAAAACCCTCGGTTTTCCCAAGTTTGCCATAGACCACTTGTTGCTTTATCCTGTTGCCTCAAAACATTACCAATATCTAGAAAACTTTTTCCTGTCTCCCTTTCTCATCATTTGTAGTTTCCTTTGGGCTGGTCTCCCAGCTTCCAGTTTATTTTCATCCACAGCTTATTTAGTTCTGCATTCCCACTCCAACATGGCCCAGGATAAGACCAGAGACCCACATTCTCAGCTATGATTCTCTTGCCTGCGAGGCTTATTATAGGTGCTATTTCTTCCCCTCTCTTTTCAGTGTCTACTAATTCTTCATTGATCATTTCCTAGAGTTAGTGCAGGCATTTTCTCAGTCTGCTGTCCCATCTCAGATAGTTATTCTTCTGTTTAACTCTCACTGGAAAAACATTATCTACAGAACGTCAATATTCTACATGGTACAGTGTAAGTCCAATTAAAGATAATGTAGTAAAATAAAAAAAACAAACAAAGAAGCAAATAAATAAAATGTAGTTACTGGAAAGAAAACGTTAACTGATTAAGTTTAAAACCCAGTTTCTCTATTTACTAGCCATATGACCTTAGACAACTTGCTAAATTTCTCTGAGTCTTGATTTTTCCTCTCAGTAAAATAGAAATAATCAAATAACACTATCCCCAAAAAGTTATTGTGACTATTAAGTGATAGTGCATGTGTACTACCTAGAATATCGACTGGGACAGTTTTGCTCAATAAATATTAGTTCCTTTCCCTTCATTTCTTTTTCTCAATTTTTAATTATGTCCTTGCTAGAAAGAGAAAAGTTACTCCCCATGTTCTGAATATTAGTGGAATGTCTTGTCTAGTATTCCAGTTACCTTTATCTACGCCTTTCAATATACTCAAGGGGTCAGTTTCAGTTAACGTGGGGCCAGTACGCTGTGATTAAGAGAATTATTCGAAGTGCCGACCTTGGAGTCAGAGCGGTTGTGCTTGAATCCAGGCTCTGACACTTACTAGTCTAATGACTGGGTGACTTCAAACTCCACTGTAAGCCTCAGATTCTGTATTTGTAAGATGAAGATTATAAGAGTAACTACTACTTTGCGTTCTTCTGAGGATTTGGTGACATTGCCCAAATGAAGTGCTTAGCTCAGTAGTGCCTTACATGTAAGTGCTCAGTAAAAGTTAATGTTAAATAATATTTTGAAATTTATTAAAGAAGGAAATAAAATATTCCTAGAATTAACATTTAATCTGAGTATTCATATCAGAAACCATACATGTTAAGGAAGTCTTGAGTTTGAAACAGTCTGATTATGATTTAATTAGGCCTGTGTTTAGAATATAGGTTCTGAAATCAGGCAGCTCTAAATTTGAGTCCTAGTTCTGCTCCTAACTAGCTGTGTGACCTTATAAAAATGAATTAATCTTTCTGAGTCTCAGTTTTTCATCTATAAAATTCGAATAAATTGTTGCCCTAGCTCAGTGGTTCTCAACCTTCTGGCCCTTTAAATACAGATCCTCATGTTGTGGCCCCAACCATAAAATTATTTTCGTTGCTACTTCATAATTGTAATGTTGCTACTGTTATGAATCATAATGTAAATATCTGATATGCAGGATGGTCTTAGGCGACCCCTGTGTAAGGGTCGTTCGACCGCCAAAGGGGTCGCGACCCACAGGCTGAGAACCACTGCGGCCTAGCTGGTTTGACTCAGTGGATAGAATGTTGGCCTGCGGCCTGAAGGGTCCCAGGTTCGATCCCAGTAAAGGGCACATGCACAGGTTGCGGGCTTGATCCCTAGTAGGGGGCGTGCAGGAGGCAGCTGATCAATGATTCTCTCTCATCATTGATGTTTCTATCTCTGTATCCCTCTCTCTTCCTCTCTGAAATCAATTTAAAAAACTATTTTAAAAAATAAAAGTAAATGCTGAGAAATTGTAATGCCTATAACTTGAGCTCCAGAATATGCCAGAACAGCACTGGCCAGCTTCTGTTCTGATTGCCTACATCATTCCAATTAATACATATTTTGAATATCACCCTTGCCCATATCTCACAGGATTGGTTTAAGGATTAAATGAGGCAATGAATATCAAGTACATTATACATAGTATTCCACACATGGAAGCTATTCATTAATCAGATATATCTGATGTCATTTTAATTATTTTAAATAATTTTATTTAAATTATCAATACATTTCAATAATTTAAAATTTAAAAATTAAAACAAGTACCTTCATGCTCATTTAAAATAAATTCTACTGGATTACTAATACCCAGTCCTGAACAACGAGGTAGCAGCAGAATCACTTTAACTTTCTGTAATCTATTATCCTTCCATTCAATGTTCAGAAATGTCTCAGGAAGTATTTCAATATCTGGGAGAAAAATATAGAAAAAATTAATGTAAAATACTAATTAAAAGCCCTAATGCAGTATGTAAGTAAGCCTATTTATCATTGTTCATTTTTAAATCCTCATCGCCACAAAAAGTCATTCTAATGTAGTCAGAAAAGATGATGTCCATCTCTGATAAATTCCCAAAGTTAATACATGAATTCTGTAGGGTTTTCTCTTCACTTGAGAAAGTGATTTTGAAGTTTAAATATTTCCTACATAAGACATAATTAAGTTTTCCATTCTGAACTTAAGATTCCATTTAAAGCCATATGCTGCAGTGGAGGGAAATGGCTTTAGACACAGAAATACCCAAATTTGATTCCCGATTTCACTGTTTAGCTGCATGACAATCTCTCAAAGCCTCCATTTCCTTCTTCATTAATGTGGGATAACAAAGCCTCCCTCATCTAATGGTGAAGACTGAAATGAAGTAGTTAAGCTCACATGGTGCCTCGTATACACTGAGTGCTCAGTAATGGTTATTTCCCTGTCCATTTTTTAAATCCCCTTTTATATTCTATATTCCCAGAAAAAAAAACAGATATCAGTAGTATTTATGAGCCACAGTGTAAGTTCACTCAGGGGCCTTGAAATTTAGTTTGAGAGTCTGCCCTCCCTCAGGTTATAACTCTCTGTACCCTATCATTTTTGTTGTTGTTAATCTCCACCAACAATCTGCAACGGAGGTACATGCCCTTGCAAAGAATCAAACCGGAAGCCTTCAGTCCCTGGGCCGAGGTTCTAACCACTGAGAAAGCTGGCCAGGGCCCTGTGCCCCTATCTTAGGCCACTTCTCTGCTTCTGCGATGGCTCATGTTCCCCTCACTGCTGAGGAGTCACTCCTGAAATTGCCCTACCCACTCCTTCCTCTCTCCTGATTAAGTTTTCCCTCTTCCTATTCTGTCTCCTTTGAAATTATTGTTTTATTCAAGTGGGCCTTTTGTCCTCCCACCCCCATTTTAACTTATTAGAAAAGTTCAAACATATACAAAAATAGCCATAATATATAATAAATTCTCAAGTACTGTCACAGTCCTGCAACAGTGAACCATTCATGTTCAATCGTTTCATCTACATCTGCACCCACTTCCACCACCCCACATACTTTGAATCTATAAATATTTCACCGTATATCTCTAAAAGATAAAAACTCCTTTCAAAATAGAATTACAAAATTTTTAAAAATCCTAATTACCATTAAATAATAATGGCATCAAATGATGGCTAAAATTTCTCATCAGACACACATGTCAAACATTTTTAATAGTTTGAATTGATACATTTTACATTAAACTTTTTTATCTAAAGAAGCTTCCCCTTCTATTTTTCTTACCATTTATTTCTTAATGAAACTTGGTTATTTGTACTAGATTTTCCCACAGTCTGGATTTTGCTAATTGCTGCCCTAGAGTGCAATTTCATATGTCCCTGTTTTTTGTTCTTCCCCTCAATTAGTAGATCTTTAGAAGCTCAATTAGATTCAGACTCTCTTGTTCTTTCTTTTTCGGTGGGGAGGCAGAGAGAAGCAAACTACTTCACAAATGGTGTCATATTCACCCACTATGCTCCCTTTGTAGTATCAGCAAAGGGGTTATAAAATAGTCATAGGGTGGTGTCCCCTTAGCCACAGTTTGTTGTCATGGTTTCAGTTACCTGTGGTCAACCATGGTCTGAAATATTAAATTTCCCCAATCATCAACTTCAGCTGCTCCTGACATCAACCATTGACATCGCCATGGCTCAATGATTCAGGATCACTGGATGCAGATGATCCTCCTTCTGATATATCATCAGAGGATCATAGTAGCCTAACACTTCGTCTCATTATGTAGGTGTTTATCATCTCACATCTCATCACAAGAAGGGTGAGCACAGAACAATAAGATATTCTGAGAGAGAGGGAGACCATATTCACATAACTTTTATTGCAGTATATTGTCAAAACTATTCCATTTTATTAGTTATTGTTGTTAATCTCTTACTGTACCTAGTTAAAAAATTAAACTTTATCACACGTGTGGTTTGAGGCACCCATTGTATTCCCTATGGATAAGGAGGGGCTACTATATACTAATTCTATCACCCTTATTTTATTATCTGGAATACTTCTAAAAGGAGAAACCTCCTTTCCTCTATGCTTGGCCACCCAATAGTTCCTGTTTTCCCTGTTAACTAGGTAAAAGGTGGTCAACTACTTGAGAGCTCTAAAATGTACAGAGGTGATAACTGTACAGTAGCCACTGCCTACCATGGCTGAAAGAACTGTAAACAAGGAACTTAACAAGTCAGAGGAGGGAGAGGGGCAGCAAGACCGAGACTGAGTTCTCTGAGGGCAAGGCTAACACTGCTAGGACCCCTGCATGGCCGCCACAGGGGAAAAGTCTTGCAATGTCTCTCCAGCACCCTTTGAAGGCAGAGCCTAATGCTGAGCCATCTGGCAATGGAGAAATGGAGTATAGAGTATACCAAAAGTTGTGTTAAGTTTTGGTAAGTTGTATTGTTCCAGGAATATGCCCTTGTTGTTTAAATGTTCAAGTTTGTTGGCATTAAGTTGCTCATAGTGTCTTTTTATTATGTTTTAACTGTCTCTAGGATCTGTAGTGATTTTGATCAGAATGGGCTCAGAATTTTTTTTATGTGCTCTGACCAGGGATCGAACCTACAACCTTGGCAAATTGGGATGGTACTCTAACCAACTGAGCTAGCCAGGGCCAGATCATAATTGTTTTATGATCTTTTTCTTGAGTCAGAATAAATTCAGGTCCTTTATCCATTATTTGTGATATTTGTCTTATTATTGAGTTTAATATACTTTAGATACAAGTCTCTTATCAGAAATATAATTTTCAAATGTTTACTCCCATTCTGTGGGTTGTCTTTTCACTATCTTGATGGTGACCTGTGAAGAACAAGTTTTCAATTTGGATAAAGTCCAATTTAGCTAATTTTTTCTTTTGTTTTGCTATTATATCTAAATAACCACTGCTAAATCCAAGGTCATGAAGATACACCCTGATTTCTTCTAGGAGCCCTATAGTTTTACCTCTTATATCTCTGTCTTTAATCCACTTTGTGTTAATTTTTGTATATAACTTGAGGTAGGAGTCGAACTTCATTCTCTCTCTCTTTTTTTTTAATCCTTACCTGAGACTTTTCTTCCATTGATTTTTAGAGAGTGGAAGAGATAGGAAAAGACAGAGAAATATCAATGTGAGAGCAACACATCGATTGGCTGCTTCCTACATAACCCCTGATCAGGGCCCAGGCTGGAAAAGAGCCTGCAACTGAGGCATGGACTCTTAACTGGAATTGAACCTGTGACCCTGTGGTCCACATGCCAATGCTCTATCCATGGAGCCAAACCAGCTAGGGCCAACTTCATTCTTTTGCAAGTGGCTATCCAGTTGTCCCAACAGTATTTGTTATTTCTTCCTCATTGAGTGGTTTTAGCATAATCTATATATATCAAAGCCTAAGCGACTATTTGACCATTTGCTATGATGTGCACTGACCTTACTACTGGGGTCCGGCCCATCGGGAATGGGCGAGATAGGCCGGACATGCCCTGGACCCCTCCTGTCATCTCTCCCTAGCCCGATTGTGCACCAGTGGGGTCCCTCGGCCTGGCCTGCACCCTCTCGCAATCTGGGACCCCTTGGGGGATGTCAGAGAGCTGCAGGCCAGGCCGAGGGACCCCACCGGTATATGAATCCATGCACCAGGTCTTTAGTGTGTGTGTGTATGTGTATATAAATATAAAATATATCCTATATAATAAAAGCCTAATATGCAAATTGACCAAACGGCAGAACAACCAGTGGAATGACTGGTCGCTATGATGCGCAGATGACCAGGGGGCAGACACTCAATGCAGGAGCTGCCCCTAGCCTGCAGGCCTCAGGCCAGCCAAGGCAGGTGCCAGCAGGGGCCCCCCAATTGTCTCACCGGTCGCCCCACAGATCAGCCCTGATCGCCGGCCAGGCCTAGGGATCCTACCTGTGCACTAATTTTGTGCACTGGGCCTCTAGCATATTATATATTGCAGTTGTTTCAGTAGTATGTATCATACATGTTAATATGATACTCCAATTCCCTATTCCATTTCCCTCTCTCCCTTAGGTATTAGATATACATTCTTTATTTGTTTGATTGCTCCAAATATTATAACACACATCACTGACTTAATAATTTACTACTTTTATCATTTCATGGACAGAGCAAGAATGGCAGAACATATTAATTCTATTTCCTTCTATGTGACGTTGTTGTATTTTATTTTAATTACATATAACACACATATTTACAATCCCACAAGACATCAGACTATACTTACTTAGATTTACCTATATACTTACCTTTTCCATAGTTCTTCATTTCTTCCAGTATCTACAACTTTCTATATGAGATGATGTTCTTTCTATTTAAACAATAGTCTTTAGTATACCCTTTATTGTGTCTGCTGGTGACAAACTCAGATTTTATTTGTCTGAAAATGTCTTTATTTCACTTTATTTTAAATGATATTTCTGTTGAATATGAAAATCTAGCCTGGCAGTTTCTTTCAGCATGTAGATACTGTTTAAAGGTCTTTGGCTTCATTGTTTCTATTGAAAAGTTAGTTTTTAGTTTTATTGTTATTCCATTAAGAGTAGTATGTATCAAAATTACAACTAAAATACAGAACCATCATCGAGAACTGCTTGAAAGCTGGCTGAATGGAAGCCCTACAACTAGAGAAGAAAACACACTGAGATTGGTAGGAAGAGAGCCCGCATTGAGAGAGCTGGCCCATCACCCACATGTGCTGCTTTTTAAATCAGCAGATATCGTCTCTGTGGAGGCCACCCAAGAGGAGAAAGGGGTCCCACAGCTAGGAAGAGAAATCCCCATAACTACGGGCTGTAAAAACCAGCCAGGCCCTAGCCAGTTTGGCTTAGTAGATAGAGTGTTGGCCTGCAGACTAAAGGGTCCCAGGTTCGATACTGGTCAAGGGCATATGCCCAGGTTGCGGGCTCAGTCCCCAGTAGGGGACGTACAGGAGGCAGGCAATCAATGATTTTCTGTCATTATTGATGTTTCTATCTCTATCTCCCTCTCTGTTCCTCTCAGAAATCAACAAAAATATATTAAAAACAAAAACAAAAAACCAACAGTGACACAGAGGCTGCCAGAGACCCAGGTGTTTCTTTTAAATGGCCAGCGTGTGAATTTACTCGGACTCAATACCTCTGAGCTCCAACACTGGGTGGCTCTGGGGGGCCCAGACACATACTGGGAGGAACTGGACTATTTGGCATTGCGGCAGGAACCCAGGGGCAGCTTTCTCCCAGACAGGGCTGCCCGCAAGGGTCCTTGTTCCTGTGCTGGCAGCCGTATTGGTGTGGCCCACACTGTTTGTTCAGCCCTGGTGATTCCCTGAGACCCCAACCCATCAAATTTGCAGCTCCACCCAAGCTGTTAGCAGCAACTTTTCCAAATGAATGGCCTGTCCTGGCTCAGGCTTTGTTAAAATCTATCAAACAAGCTCCAGCTGTTGACAACATGCCTAACCTATCAATAAAAGGCCCAAGACCTGGCACTAGCACAAGCCTGCCTTGCTTCACAGTTAGGCTTCGAATCCTGCACAGCAGTTCTCCCACTATATTCACAGCTGGTCATCACAGCCAATTGACCTGGAGATCAACTCCTCCCAGGGAGACTCAACTACAAGACCTTGCACACAGCCCACACGGGGGTGCACAAGAGGGCCCAGCTCTGGTGACTGGGAAGGCTGAGCCCCTGGGCCCTACAGGACACCTACTATACAAGGCCACTCTACCAATTCCAGGAGATATAGGAGCTCTGCCTATTACATAAAAACAAACACAGGGTAGCAGCCAAAATTTGAAGACATAGAAATATGCCACAAATGAAAGAAATGGAAGTAAGCAAATATTAGATACAGAGTTCAAAACCATGACTAGAAGGTTACACAAGGGTCTTCATGAGACTTTCAAGAATCTTAGTGAGAATGCCAAAGACATGACAAAGGACCAGTCAGAAATTAAGCATACACTAACTGAAATAAAGAACAATTTACAGGGATTCAACAGTAGAGGATTCTGTGAATCAAATCAATGACTTGGAAAATGAGGAAGCAAAAAACACCCAATCAGAAGAGCAAAAAGAAAAAAAGAATAAAAAAATATGAAGAAAGTGTAAGGAGCCTCTGGGACAACTTCAAGCATACCAACAGGTGCCAGAAGGAGAAGAAAGAGAGCAAGATATTGAAACCTAATTGAAGAAATAATGACAAAACTTCCCCTACCTGGTGAAAGAAACAGACCTACAAGTCCAGGAAGCACAGAGAATCCCAAACAAGAGGAACCCAAAGAGGCCCAAACCAAGACACCTCATAATTAAAATGCCAAGGGTTAAAGACAGAATCTTAAAAGCAGCAATAGAAAAGCAGTTAGTTACCAACAAGCGAGCACCCATATGACTTTCAGATCATTTCTCAACAGAAACTTTGCAGGCCAGAAGGGAGTGGCAAGAAATATTCAAAGTGATGAATAGTAAGGACCTACAACTGAGATTACTCTACCCAGCAAAGCTCTCAGTTAGAATTGAGGGTCATATAAAGAGCTTCACAAATAAGAAAAAGCTAAAGGAGTTCATCACCACCAAACCAATATTATATGAAATGTTGGAGGGTATTGATTAAGAAGAGGAAGAAGGAGGAGGACAAAATATGAACAACAAATGGCAACAAATACATATCTCTCAACAATCAAATCTAAAAATAAAAATAAATGAACAAGAAATCTAATGAACAAATAAACAGGTGAATGAAATGGAATCAGAGGCATGGAAGCATGGAACAGACTGGCGAATCTCAGAGGGAAGCGGGGAAGAAGGGGCGGGAAGAGATTAACCAAAGATCTTACCTTTGGACACAGACAGTGAAGGCCTGGGGTGGGGTGGGAATTGGGTTGAGGGGGACAATGAGGGAAAAATAAGGGGGACATCTGTAATACTCTCAACAATAAAGATAAAAAACAAACAAACAAGAGTAGTATGTATCATCTCCCTGGTTGCTTTGAGTACTGTTCTTTGACTTTGTCTTTCTGCAATTATGCTATGATGTGCCTTGTATATTTTTGGTATATTTATTCTTACTGGAATGCATAGGGCTTCTTAGATCTATGACTTAATTTATTACATCCATTTGAAAAATTTCCAGCCTGAATTTCGAATATTATTTCTTCCCAATTCCTCTTCTCTTTTCCTGGTCTCCCAGTCACAACATACATCACTGGATCACCGAGTCTCATGTGTATTTTGTGATATCTTTCATATTATTCACACTTTTATCTTCTCATGCTTTAGTCGGGGTATTTTCTTTAGGCTTATCAGTTCACTTATTCTTTCTTTAGCTCTGTCTAATCTAATAAATCTATCAATATCTCAATTTCACATATTGTATTTTTCAGTTCTAGAATTTTCTTTTGACTTTAATATTTTAAAATGTTTTTATTGATTTTAGAGAGAGAAAAAGAAAGAAGGAGAGAGAGATAGAAACACTGACGAAAGAGAAACATCAACATCGATGGGCTGCCTCCTAGACACCCCTACTGGGGATCAAGCCTGCAACCCAGGCATATGCCATGACCGGGAATCAAACCTGTGACCTCTTGGTTCATGGGTCAATGCTCAACCTCTGAGCCACACCAGTTGGGCTTCTTTTCACTTTTTAAAATTATTGTTTCCAGTTCTCTGCTGAAATTCTACAACTTGGCATTTAGTCTCATCAGCATATTAATCGTAGTTATTTTGAAGTCCACATCTGATATCTCTAGTATTGGACCCTCCGTGGGCTTGCTTCTATTATAGTGGGTTTTTTTCTCTTTATTTCAGCTATAGCTTTTCTTTTTGTTTGTCTACTGGGTTGTTTTTTATAATTTAGTGCCAGACATTGCATTTGAAAAAATTTAAGAGGTAATATGAAACCTAGGATTATGTTATTCTCTTCCAAGGAGAATTTACTTTTGCTTCTGGTAGGCAGCTAAACCTGAGCACTAGCAATCCCAGATCATCGTAATCCAACTGCTAATTGAGATGACTGACATTTGGGCTTCAATTCATGGGAGAACTGATTACTATCAAGGATATACTTCTTTTGTGCTCCAAATAAAATGCTGGTTATTTACCAGTCTATTTTTCTAGGTCAAGCCCTGAATTCTACTTTTTCTCTCCCTCACCCTGTGAATCTGTCAAAAGTTTTTCTTACTTTTCAGACTCACTGGGCCTATAATAAATGTTATTTTTAGTCCTAGCATGATCCATTAAAAACCTTTTTAAAAATAAGAAGCATAAGGGGATTTATCTTCTAGATAATATCTTTGTCCCTTAAGCTCCTCTATGATTGTGTTCTTATTTATTAAAGGATGATCAATCATTTCTATCACTCACTTTGACTACTTATTGTTTGAACCTAAAATTAAATAGTGGCTAAATGTCAAGCAATATACCAAAGTACCAATATGTTCATTAATTTAAACTGTAGTTGTTTAGCCCTGGCTGATGTAGCTAAGTTGGTTGGGCATTGTTCCATGCACGGAAAGGTTGCTGCTTCGATTCCCAATCAGGGCACATCCCTGGGTTGCAAGCTCAATCTCTGTGCAGAAGGTAGCCAATAGATGTGTCACTCTAACATAGATGTATCTCTCTCTCTCTTTTCTCCCTTTCTCTCTAAAAATAAATAAAAATGCATTTTCAAAAACTGTAGTTGTTTCACCAATATTAATCGATAAGAACAGACTGATATAGCATGAGTTAGTGAGGATTTTAAGAGTATAGTTCACATAGAGTTTTTACATTAAAAATAACAAATTCAAACATTTTTAATATTTCTAAATCTTCTTGTAATTTTTATTGATTGGTTTTAGAGAGAGAGAGGAAGGGGGAGAGAGAAACATCAACTTTGTTGTTCTATGTATCCATGCACTCATTGATTCCCTCTTGTATATGCCCTGACCGGGGACCAACCTGCAATGTTGGTGTTTCAGGACGATGCTCCAACCAACTGAGCTACCTGGCCAGGGCTCTAACTCTTGTAGAACATTATCAAACAAATGAATATTAGTACTTACTTTTACATCCCATTTTTGTGAAAAGGTTCTTCAGGTCAGGATGCTTAGCTTGTGATTGCACTCCACACACAAATATTTTTGAGTTATTATTTGTTAAGTTTGACATATGGGCAACTGTGTACCATGAACCTGTATTGACCATTAAGATATCATCATCCACATTTAATAAAGCCTTTACAGAATGGACAGCAAGACTTCGAGACTTGTCCTGAAAGATATGGTATGATTAGAATTTCAAAGAATTTGACTAGAAGCATGAACTGACTTCTTTTGGTAAAAGAAAGTAGTTGGTAGGAATCTTGAAGAGACACCTAACCCATTTTACTTTAAAACATCCTATACATTAAAATACAAAGTTAACAAAAATAACTGATATAAACTGATTTAAAACGAAGACCTTTGTTTAGCTTAAATTATGACTGTTATCATTTAACTCTGATTTGTAAGAGGTATATAATGCAATGCCAAAGTCCCCAAAATGTGATTAATAGATTAGTGATGTCCTGCCCATTCCTAGTCATTCATGAAAACCCATTCATCTACTACTGCCATTCTTCCTTATTTTAAAAAAATTTTATTGACTGATTTGAGAGAGAGAGGAAAGAAGAACGAGAGAGAAACATCTATTTGTTGTTCCACTTATTTATGCATTTATTGGTTGATTCTTGTATGTTCTCTGAGAAGGGATCAAACCAGCAACCTTGGAGTATCAGAACAATGTTTAACCAACTGAGCTACCTGGCCAGGGATACTGCCATTCTTTCTTCCCTATTACATTGTAATTTAAATTGCTGCTAGTTCACAGAGCTTAAAAAATGGCTGACAAGCATATAAATGGAAGCTACACAGACTGGGATTCTGCAGTTGATCTCAGTGCTCATTAGGGTGTCTCTCTAACATAAGGCCAAAAGATTCTGCCCAAGAATATGGGTCCCGTAAAGGAATAAACCTTAGAAGACAAGGTAAATCTGAGCTAAGAATTGGAATCTAAGGACATAAAAATTAATTTAACTTAATATTTTAGACCTCTTACTTTTCATTTTATGGAAACCTCATTATACCTCATATTCTCTTCCTGCATTGATAGACATTACACACCTCTTACAAATCAAAGCTATAAGACTATATTAAAGAGATAATGGGAAAGTATCACACACTGCATTTTCAAATGCAGGATGGCTCTAGCATTTTCCACAGAAATATAAGGAAGAAAGGTACATCATTGTACCTTCTCTTGAATCTTCCCTTGGGAGAGAAAAATATAGCTGCCAGCAATACAAGTCTCCCCACGTATAGAATCTGGGGAAAGAATATGTTCTTTACAACTTCACATAGGACAAAGATGCCAAAGTACAATAGGAACACTGATTGTAGAGGTATTAATTTTATTCAAGGTGGAAATTACCTCCCTGATAATCTATAAAAATATAATCAGTTTGTTAGATTTTATTTTATTTTATTTATTTTTTGTTGTTGATAATCCTCACCTGAAGATATTTTTCTATTGATTCTTAGAGAGAGTGGAAGAAAGGGACGGGGAGAGACAGAGAGAGAGAAAAACAATGATGTGAGGGAGATTGGTTGCCTCCCCCATGTACCCTGACTGGGGCTGGGGATTGAGCCTGCAACCAAGGTACGTGCCCTTGACCAGAATTGAACCCAGGATCCTTCAGTCCCTGGGGCCGATGCTCTATCCACTGAGCCAAATCGGCTAGAGCAGGTTTTATTTTTCAGTGGAGAGATTCTTTGGATAAGTAGGATTATTGAGAATCACAATGAATATAAGTGTTAATTTACCTGAAATATGAGTTTATAATCTTTGAAGAGATCTATATTTAGAAGATCACTTTTAAGATGAGATGGAAAAATTAAGACATCATAGCAATGTTGGTCCACAGCAAAGACTTTTCCACCAATATGCAATACAGTTTTGACTTTAGTGTAGCCTCTTTTCTTCAAACTAAAATAAACTTCTTCAGGGCTGTAAAAATACAACATTAGGTTGTAACTACAAATATATTACATTAAAAATGTATTTAACACTAGCATCTTTTCTTACAAAAAAAAACACACAAAGACACCACTCCATATATTATATTTAATGGAACTTACAATTTTAGGCAACAATCAGTTAAAAGATAGAGACAGAAAAGCTAACCTATTTACATGATTATCTTTGGTAGTTTGGTGATAAGATTCTGAACTAAACTATGATTCTCCAATAACTCCCACATTTAAAAGGTAATATTTTTTATCACATTACTTTGAAATATGAATAAAGAATTTGATTAAAACTCTTACCTAATTTTTAAAGTATTTATCCAAGCATAAAGTGGCAAAGTGGAGGCCCTTAGTTCTTGGTTCCTAACTGTTTCTGGAAGAATGTGGTCAATTGAAAGGGCATCATGTTTGATTCGACATCTTGCCAATGCCGCAGCCAATTTTGTCTTAAAACTAGAGACAGAAAATCCATTCTTGGTGATTACTGCATTGAAGACAAGTCTATCAATTTTCCACTGGAAACATTAACAAATTAGATTTCAAATTTTAACAAATCCTTCAGCAATTCTATTTCAAATTTTTATAGTCTAAAATAAAAAATGGCCATATTTGAAAATAGAAATCCAATAATCCTGCTTCCTCTTTTCAGTTTTTGCTGCCCCTGTATAGTTTACTGTGCATCTGCTCAGATACTTATATCAAGTGCTAGTTTCAAGGCAAATTTAATGTAGTGAGAGAGGTGTAGGATTTAGTCAGACAAACCTGATGTTAAATTCAGGTTCTGTCACTTACTAGCTGTGTGACCTTAAGACAGCAACAGTGTAGTATTTTTTTAAAGGGGGGGGGGGAGGGGACAGGGGAAAAGACAGAGAGAGAGACATTGATTTTGTTGTTCCACTTATTTATGCATTCATTGGTTGGTTCTTGTATGTGCCTTGACCTGGGATCAAACCCACAACCATGGTATATGAGGACAATGCTCTAACCAACTGAGCTACCAGGCCAAGGTAGTCTTGATAAGATTAAGGAACTTGCATGAATCTGTATCAAGCCCTTCCTAGTTCTGATTATCCCAAGCCTCAAAGTTCCAAACAACAGAAAAGAAAAAGAATTGGTTAGCATGACCATGAAGACCCAATCATTTTTCTTGATCTCACAGCCCCAATCCTATATAATAAAGAGCTAATATGCAAATAGTTGTCACACCCTCATGCCCTCGGGGCTGGAGGACCTGAGGCTGGGCCGGGGACCTGAGGCCACGCCCCCTGCCCAGCAGAGTTGACAGGGGACCTGAAGCTGTGCCCTCCACCCTGCGGGGCTTGACAGGGGTGGGGCTGGCCAGGTAGGGGTTTCACGTGATTTTGAGGCCCACGCATGTGGGCGAGACTTGACTCTGGGTTCCGCAGCACACCCCAGACTCTGACAGGAGGGAGATTTTCATATACATTTTACTAATTTTCTTTCATCTCTGACACTTCTATTATAGAGAAAGGTCAAATAAAATATTAAAATATTTCCTCTAATTAATTCCCTTTTAATGTGCACTAATTTTGTGCACCAGGCCACTAGTTTTTAATAAATGAGAATACAAGACTTTCTTTTGACCCATATTCATATCATTTTCACAGTAGGAATCTAATTGAATAATAAACCTCAAGGATAACCTTGAGCCTTAGCTGGTTTGGCTCAGTGGATAGTGTGTCGGCGTGCAGACTGAAGCGTCCCAGGTTCGATTCCAGTCAAGGGCACATGCCTGGGTTGCAGGCTCAGTTCCCAATGGAGACTGTGTAGGAGGCAGCCAATCAATGATTCTCTCTCATCATTGATGTTTCTATCTCTCTTTCATTCTCCCTTCCTCTCTGAAATCAATAAAAACATGTTTTTTTTAAAAAGGAACTAGAAAAAAATCATAACTTTAAATGAGAAATAGGGAAGAAAATCCATAAAAGAGTCAAGTACAACCAGGGTGATGTGTGTGACTGCCAGAAGCTTAATAAAATTAAGCTATTATCTACTTGGTAGAATGAGAACGTTTCACTTAAGAATGTGTTTATGTGTGAATATGTATACGTGCATAGGGGAGTTGGAGAGGAAGAAAGAGAAGAAGAGGGAGAGAACAAACATAGAGGCACTTGGAAGGGAAAGTGTTTTCAAACATGAAGTCTTCTAGGGCTACAATAAAATTAGATTGGTGTAGTCCTATGTACTAATGTCACAAAACTACAGGAAGGGATACTAAAAACAATTACATAATATATCAATGCACATAAAAGAATACATTAATATAAAGGAGGTAACAGTTCTATATTAAACACTGTGAATTGTTTCTGAGTACAAACTATTTTTTATTAAATAATCTGTCCAGAGAAATCAAGATGGTGGCATAAGTAAACACCAGAGATTGTGGCCTCGCACAACCACTTCAAAAATACAACTAAAAGACAGAATGGACATCATCCAGAACCACAGGAAGGTTGGCTGAGTGGAAATTCTACAACTAGAAGGAAAGAGAAAAGCATACAGAGACTCAGAGGAGGTGCGGTGCGGAAGTAAAATACAGAGGTACAGAGGCGCATGCGGAGAGGGTTGGCGGCTGAGGACACGGTTGTCTTTTTAAATTGGGAGGGAGTCTCAAGCTCTGAGCTCCAGTTCTGGGCGAGTCTCTGGGGACCCAGACTCATACGGGAGAAACTGGACAGTCTGGCATCGGTCAGAACTCGAGGGCAGCTTTCTCTCAGGGGTGCTTGCAGTGATTGCCGGGACACTGAGAAGCAGGGCCTCTGAGGGCAAGACTGAGAGCAGCTATAACTGCTTGCTCCGCCCTGTTGACCCCCTGGGACCCCACCCCATCCAAGCCATGGAGGCTTTTGCATATGAAAGGCCTGGCCCTTTGCAATCTGATAATTACCTAACAAACTACAGCTGGCCCAAGGCTTCAGGGCAACTTGCATTGTGTCACAGCTGGCTCCTGCTGGATAGCCTCAGGCAGAGGCTAGATTAGCACCTCCTTAGAGATCCAGGAGCCATGTACCCGGTGGTCAGAGTGGGACCATCCAGACTGCAGCTCCTCGGATCCATAAAGGACACACTCAGAGGGCAGACTCGGTGACCACCAAAGCCCCACTGAAGCAAGTCTTGCCCCTGAGGGGTGTCTCCAGCACAGAAGTTCTCCCACTGCAGACACAGCTGATTCTCACAGCCAATTGGCCTGGAGGTCAATCCCTCCCATGTTACCTACAACAATCAAGGCTTAACTACAATAAGACTGTGAACAAAGCCCACAAGGGGATTCACCAAGGGTGTCTACCTCAGGTAATTGGGGAGGCTGAGCCACTGGGCCCCATAGGACACCTAGCACAGAAAGCCACTCTATAGACACAGCGAAGCATTAAAAAATGCTGAGACAAAGAAGCAGGATACAAATGACAGAAATGGAGGAAAGCAAACGACTGGATATATAGTTCAAAACCACACTTTTAAGGTTTCTCAAGATTTTTCTAGAAACCGCCGACAAACTTAATGAGACCCTCAAGAAATCTAATGAGACCCTTGAGGTTGTGATAAAGGACCAACTAGAAATTAAGCATACACTGACTGAAATAAAGATTATTATACAGACTCCCAACAGCAGACTAGAGGATCGCAAGAATCAAGTCAAAGATTTGAAACATGAAAAGCAAAAAACACCCAACCGGAAAAGCAAAATGAAAAAAGAATCTGAAAATACGAAGATAGTGTAAGGAGCCTCTGGGACAGCTTCAAGTGTACCAACATCCGAATTATAGGGGTTCCAGAAGAAGAGAGAGAGCAAGATATTGAAAACCTATTTGAAGAAATAATGACAGAAAACTTCCCCTACCTGGTGAAAGAAATAGACTTACAAGTCCAGGAAGCACAGAGAACCCCAAACAAAAGGAATCCAAAGAGGACCACACCAAGACACATCATAATTAAAATGCCAAGAGCAAAAGACAAAGAGAGAATCTTAAAAGCAGCAAGAGAAAGAAAGTCAGTTACCTACAAGGGAGTACCCATATGACTGTCAGCTGATTTCTCAACAGAAACTATGCAAGCCAGAAGGGAGTGGCAAGAAATATTCAAAGTGATGAATGCCAAGAACCTACAACCAAGATTACTTTATCCAGCAAAGCTATCATTCAGAATTGAAGGTCAGATAAAGAGCTTCACAGATAAGAAAAAGCTAAAGGAGTTCATCACCACCAAACCAGTATTATATGAAATGCTGAAAGGTATCCTTTAAGAAGAGGAAGAAGAAGAAAATGGTAAAGATACAAACTATGAACAACAAATACACATCTATCAACAAGTAAATCTAAAAATTAAGTGAATAAATAATCTGATGATCAGAATGAACTGGTGATTATAATAGAATCAGGGGCATAGAAAGGGAGGGGACTGACTATTCTTGGGGGGAAAGGGGTGTGGGGGGTACGGGAAGAGACTGTACAAAAATCATACACCTATGGATGAGGACAGTGGAGGGCGTGAGGGCGGCGGCGGGTTAGGGGGGAAACAGGTGGAGGGGAGCTATGGGGGGAAAAAGAGGAACAACTGTAATAATCTGAACAATAAAGATTTAATTTAAGAAAATTAAAAAAATAATCTGTCCAAATACCTACATAGTTCAAATTTAATGCATATATAGTAGGTTCTTGGGTTATGCCAGAGATCTGTTCCTACGGCGCGACGAAACATGATTTTTGCCATAAGTTGGAACGCACCTACATAAGCACCTACATCACTCACATGGAGCACATACAGAGCAGTAATGAAGTGAAACAGTAAAAAAAGTTTAAAAGACAGATAACAATTCCTGACCTTTATTTGTGGTAAATAATAAAAAACATAAAGCACATATGTACATATGTCGAATGACGGAACTTTTTTTTTAATAAATAAATGGGAGATGGCGATGTAACCACGAAATGACGTACGAGTCCGACGTAACCCGAGGACTATCTGTAAATGTATTGACTGGAATATTTAATCATGAAATATAAATATTAGAGATATGGCCCTAACTGGTTTGGCTCAGTGGATAGAGCGTCAGCCTGCGGACTCAAGGGTCCCAGGTTCGATTCCGGTCAAGGGCATGAACCTTGGTTGCGGGCACGTACCTTGGTTGCGGGTACATCCCCAGTAGGGAGTGTGCAGGAGGCAGCTGATCAATGTTTCTCTCTCATTGATGTTTCTAACTCTCTATCCCTCTCCCTTCCTCTCTGTAAAAAATCAATAAAATATATTTTTTTAAAAAAGATTAGAGATATGAAACCTAGAAAAATATATGTATTGTGTATATGGGTAAGTACAGGGAGAAATAATTTTCCAAATTTTAATATCATTTAATCACACAAAAAGTAATTTAAAGTATATATACAGTTATAAAGATTTTATATAAATATCAGATTGAGGACAAAGACCAAATCTAAATGTTATTAGAATAACCAAACATATTACTTCTGTAAATGAAATACTCTAGCTACCAAAAAAAAAAAAAAAGTTTTCCAGAGCTGTGAGGCAGACTGCAATGATGAAAATGGAAGCAAAAATAGCCTTTCCTAACATTCCTGAGCCAGAAGTCCATCTCCTGCTACAATTTTAATGTTATCATAGAAAACTGCTCAATTTTCTCTTTTTACCAGCATCCCCATTGTACATATAGCCAGAGCTTCCTTCCTATATGTTAAATTGTAGTTATGTAATGCCTAAGCCTAACCTCCATTCCACAATTTCTCATGGCTACGACTATCATGAGCTATGACTACGTCCTATCTTTAATCTTCCAGAGTACTCAGCCAAGCCTCATATCCTCGCGACCCCTGAAAATACAACCTGCATATCAGATATTTACATTACAATTCATAACAGTAGCAAAATTACAGTTATGAAGTAGCAACAAAAATAATTTTATGGCTGGGGGTCACCACAACATGAGGAACTGTATTAAAGGGTCGCGGCATTAGGAAGGTTGAGAGCCACAAAGGCAAGGAGTGGCAGCATATAAACATTAAAGCCTTACTGAAATTTGAATTCTGTCTACTCCCCTTTCTAACTCTATGACATTAGATAGGTTCCTTTAACCTCTCTATGCCTCCATTTTCCAATGTGTGGAAATGATAAGAGTGTCCACCTTATAAGGTAATTATGTCAAAAGTTTCTTATAACAGTGATTGATACATATTAAGTGCTCAATAAATGTAAGCCATATTATATTACTCCACTACCAGAGTCCTCTGGTCTCAGCCTTCAATAATTTAAATGAAACTGCTTGATTCCCCATCTATATAGATAAAAGCCTAAGCAACCATCGCAACCAAAACAACCAAACGGACAGCTGAACAGGCTGTGTGGGGCGACCAGGCCAGCGAAAGTGAGGGCGACCAAACGACTGAGCAGCAGGTGTGGGGCGACCAGGCCAGCAGGGGGGTTAGTGAGGGCGACCAAATGACTGAGCAGCAGGTGTGGGGCGACCAGGCCAGCAGGGGGATTAGTGAGGGCGACCAAACGACTGAGCAGTGGGCTGTGTGGGGCGACCAGACCAGCGGGGGGTGGGGGGGGTACAGTGAGGGGCAACCAGACTGGCAGAGGGACAGTAAGAGGCGACCAGGCTGGTGGGGGGTGGGAGGGGAAGTTGGGGGCGACCAGGCCAGCAGAGGGGGAAGTTAGGGGCAATCAGGCAGGCAGGCAGGCGAGCAGTTAGGAGCCAGTGGTCCCGGATTGTGAGAGGGAGGTCCGACTGCCTCTTTCCAAGTATAGACATCCTCCGAGGAGTCCTGGATTGGAGAGGGTGCAGGCTGAGCTGAGGGGATCCCGCCCCCTATGCACGAATTTCATGCACCGAGCCTTTAGTTACAATATAAAATCAGATATTACACTGACAACTGTTTCAAATTATCTGTTAGATAAAAATCTTCCTACAAGATTGTTGTTGTTGCTATAAACTGCTTTCTATTATGGTTCAACAGCATAATAACAAAAGCCCTAACAACAATAGCACTTAATGTTTATTGACCATTTACTATGTGTCTGGTTCTAATCTAAGCATTTTATATACATTAGTTTAATTAGCTCTCCACACCACCTTTTTATTATCTCCATAGTAGGTTTCTGCTAATATTTAAGATAAAAACAAAATCAAAACATGTTCGTTTTTAACTAAGTAAAAGTTTGTGTGTTTTTTCAATTTGTCAAAGCAGTGGGTTCTTATCTACTGTTGGAATTCTCATTTGACACAGGATAGATTTTTTTAAAAAAGCTATAAACAAAGCTAAGTAAATAAATAACTATTTCAAATGAAATTTAATTTATGTATGTGCAAAAATTCTTAAGAATTTTTCATGATTTTCCAAATACAAGTTGGATCTTACAACTTGATTTAAACAAAAGATTTAACCTGTTCAATACTGTTGTTTTCTTAAGGTTTTTTACTGATTTTTAGAGAGAGCGGAAGGGAGAGGGGGAGAAAAAGAGAGAAAGATTGATGGGAGAGGGAAATATCCATCAGCTGCCTCCTGCATGCCCCCTACAGGGGATTGGCATGTGTCCTTAACAGGAATTGAACCAGCAACCTTTTGGTGCACAGGACAACGCCCAACCAACTGAGCCACACCAGCCAGGGTTTCAATACTGTGTATTTTCTAATACATTTTTTATTTTTAGAGAGGGGGGAAGGAAGAGGGATAGAGAGAAACACTGATGAAAGAGAAACATCATCTATCGGCTGCCTCCTGCATGCCCCCTAATGGGGATTGAGCCTGCAACCCAGGCATGTGCCCTGACCAGGGATCAGCCCAATGACCTCTTGCTTCCTCAACCCCTGAGTCACACCGGCTGGGCTCAATACTGTTTTAAATCCTCACTTGAGGATGTTTTGTTTTTTACTGATTTTAGAGAGAGGAAGGAAGACAGAGAAACACTGATGTGGGAGAGAAACATCGATTGATTGCCTCCCGACCAGGAATGGAACCCTAAACCTAGTAATGAGCTCTGACTGGGATGGAACCCACCACCTTTTGGTGTATGGGAAGAAGCTCCAACCAACTGAACACCAGCCAGGGCAGATTAATATTGCTTTTAAAGGAATGTAAGAAACCTGTGAACTTTTATATTTTTTCTCTATAAAATTTGACATGTATTATACATTATACTGCATAGAATTTTGCCAATGAAAATACTAATAATGATTCCACATAAAACATCCTTTTTACTTTTACAGTTACCTGTTAAGAATGTTCTCTACTTCTTGAACTTCCACTATGCACTGTTTGTTATCAGAAAGGAGACGAGCTTGAAATTTTCTATCTTGAAAATCATACAGCATCACAATAATTAAACTGCTCAAATGATCTGGCTACCAAGGGGAAACACACAAAAAGAAAAGTATATAAACAATATCTAATAGCATTATTTTTCATTCCATTATTTTTCATAAAAGGGCAGGAATATGACTATATTTAGAGAGTCTGGCTGGATTGAGAGAAAAAGACCTCAAAATAGGAAAAAAAAAAAAAAAAAAAGAGCCCAGTACAAAATAGATCTTTCAATGAAGACAATTTTTGGTATGTTCATCAAAATGAAAGGACTAGGGCCAGTATTAGAAGCATTTGAAGTAAAAAGAGTTAAGAATATACTTGAAAGTACTTTGGAAGGCTTTTTAGTACTTCGGAAATAACAATCAGGAGACAGCTAATTATATAAAAGGCATCTACTTACTATTGTAGTACTTGGAAAGATGCAGCTATCTATTAATATAGTTTCCAAAATACCTTGATCTGCAAGACAAGGTAAATGTCTGTTACTGAATATACCAAAATCTGACATTTTCAGCTTTGGTATATTCAGTAACAGACATTTACCTTGTCTTGCAGATCAAGGTAAATGTCTGTTACTGAATATACCAAAGCTGAAAATGAAAACTTTGGAATCAAAGTACACTTTAGACAATGTCATAAAATACATTTACTTTCATAGCTAAACTATACCTCAATTCTTGATAAAGATTTAAATTATGATGGCATGATGAAATAGTTACAATTGTTATGAATTTGGACCCTAATGACCCAGGCTCCACATGGAATCACAGCCAAAGGTGCATTATCTGAATAGGCAAAGGAGTAATAAAGAAATCCCAACCTTTATGTCTTTTGAAAAACATTAAAGATCTCACTCATAATGTCTTATCTTGTTATGCATTGCTGGGCTCAATTTGCTAATACTTTATTTAGGATTTTTGTTCTGTGTTTATGTTTGTGAGGGGTGGTCTATAACTTCTAATATCCTTGTCACTGTTGGTGCACATCTTGGTCCTTTCCAAAGGCACCCAGCCACAGCAGAGGGAGCCACAAGCTGTGGATTGCGGATAGCTCCAAACAGGGTATACAGGGCCAGTCAGAAACAGCACCTGACACTGTCCTGCTCCAGAGATTAGGAGGCATAACAGATCTACCTAATACATAGTCACAAACTCAAATAGGCAGCCAAAATGGGGAGACCAAAAAAAACAAGCCCCAAACGAAAGAACAAGAGAATTCTCCAGAAGAGCTAAATAAAATGGAGATAAGGAATTTATCAGACATAGAGTTCAAAATAATGATGGCAAAGATGGCATGAGAACAGATAAAGTAACTATGAAGAATGACATAGCACTAATAAAGAACACAGTGGAAGGAATACACAGCAGATTAGGGGAAGCCAAGGATCAGATCAGTGAATTAGAAGACAGGGTAGAAAAAAATCACTCAATCAGAGAACCAAGAAGAAAAAAAGAATTAAAAAACAGGAGGTCAGCTTAAGGGGTACCAGAAGGAGAAGTGAGCAAGGGCTTCAGAACGTGTTCTCAAAGCATACATTAAGCAATTAGAAGGTTTTTTGCTGACAGGTTAGATGATTCTGAAATGACCAGGTTAAAGGCACACCAGTACCTGCTATTTATAATTCACTAACTACTATATACACCTAGAGAAGTTGGAGAAAGAATTAAGCCATCAATAAAATCAACAATTTCAGAGACATATCTTTCCTTAAGGTTTTTTCTATCTTTTTTTAAAAAGAAATTTGCCCTAACCGGTTTGGCTCAGTGGATAGAGCGTTGGCCTGCGGACTCAAGGGTCCCCGGTTCGATTCCAGTCAGGGGCATGTACCTTGGTTGCGGGCACATACCCAGTAGGGAGTGTGCAGGAGGCAGCTGATTAATGTTTCTCTCTCATCAATGTTTCTAACTCTCTATCCCTCTCCCTTCCTCTCTGTAAAAAATCAATAAAATATGTTTAAAAAAAATTAAAGAAATAAAAAAATTTATTTTTTAAGAAATCATTGCCAGTTTTTCTTTGTTTTAAATATTTAGTATTCCTTGAAACATCCAGAGATTCTTCGGGGAAAAAAAAAAAAGCCCTGGCCAGGTAGCTCAGTTGGCTAGAGCAGTGGTCGGCAAACTGTGGCTCGTGAGCCACATGCGGCTCTTTGGCCTCTCGAGTGTGGTACTTCCACAAAATACCGACTTCTGTTCATGGGCCACAAAGTTTCCATCGCACTGTTCGTGTGCGCCTGCACGTGGTATTTTGTGGAAGAGCCACACTCAAGGGGCCAAAGAGCCGCATGTGGCTCGCGAGCCGCAGTTTGCCGACCACTGGGCTAGAGCACTGTCCTGCTACACCAAGATTGCAGATTTGAACCCCAGTCAGGGCACGTACAAGAATCAACCAATGAGTACATAAATAAGTGAAACAACAAATCGGTGTTTCTCTTTCTCTCTCCCTCTCTCTTTAAAATCAATAAATAAAATTTAAAAGCAAAACAAGTTAGCTTCTAGTACTTAATAGGAATAGGTAGGTTATTCTTCATTACCTCCTTTAGCAAAAAGGTGACCTTTAGGCTATTTAGTAAAGCAGGAGTAGTGGTTGCCTTCATTTCAAAAAACATTATACTGAGCCCTTTAAACCTTGGGTTAATCAGATACACACTCTCTGCTTTGATAGAGCTTATGCACAAAGAAGGACATCAAAGGAGCAAACAAAACTGGAAAACATAAAACCCAACCAAAGGAATATACTTAACATTTGTATAATTAAGGGATTTTCTCGGGCATTATTTTTTCTTCTCTTGTACTTCCTAAAAGAAAGTAATATGATCTAATTACTTGTTTACAAATTCACCAGAAAACAGACCATTACCCAAGCTCTCTTTAGCTTGTACATTAACCTTTTCAGCTTTACTGCTCCTATAAAATCTTATGAAAGAAACCCTAGTTTTCTTTTCTGAACCTATACTGTATAAACCAAATATGAGCTTACAAAATATCATGTGAAAGTATTGATAAAACACTGCTAATGCAGAAGATAAATGTGAAATGACAAGAGCCTCCAATATTTTAAAGCAAAATATCAGGTCTTTAATTATCTTGAAAACTCATTGCACTTAGGAATTCAGGGTTTTACTCTACTCGAACATTCAGAAATTATTCAGATGATAACTTAAGCAATATATTATTATTCTAAGAAGAAAATATTTGTACCAAGTAAACAACCAAAGTCATCTTACTTTAGAATTTGAACATTTCTAACAAAAGCAGGTTTGTAAAAGCCTATGATAATAATAATTTATCTGAATGGGATTTTCTGGGTCATTAAACAATATCAAATAGGGCCCAACTGGTGTGGCTCAGTGGTTGAGGGTGGATCCATTAACCAGGAGGTCACAGTTCAATTCCTGGTCAGGGCACATGCCTGGGTTTCAGGCTCAATCTCTAGTAGTGGGCCTACAGGAGGCAGCTGATCCATGATTCTCTCTCATAATTTATGTTTCTATCTCTCTCTACCTCTCCCTTCCTCTCTCTGAAATCAATAAAAACATGTATTTTTTTTAAATCAATAGTAACAAGACCCTTTCATAAAACAAAGACTGAGAGGAAAAAAAGATAATCTACTATACACATGACCATCTAATTAGTGCATAATTTTACATAAAATAATTTCAGACTTTTAGTATTGATTTCTAAAGGTAAGATTCAATATTCTATTAGGAAAACAAAGTGTCTACAATAGAGTCTTGGCATTTACATTAAATACCAACTAATCAACACAGATGCCCAGTCTGCATTTCATTCTTGCGAGGAAAAGTATAAAAATGTTCATTTGACTCATAGGTTGGTCTGTAGGATTAAACTGGAGGAGGAAAAATGGTTAAGATAGATTTTAAAAGAAAAAAATCACAATCAGGAGAAAAGAAATGAAAACTAAAGGAAAGTTGCCTCTTAACATTAAATTTTTCTCTATATTGACAAATTCCTGGCCTTAAAGTTGACATCATCTCAGCAGACAACCAAAAATATATAATCATATCTAAGAAATTAATGGAACATTTTCCTAGCGGGGATGTGCAGGAGGCAGCCAATTGGTGTTACTCTCTCTCCCTCTCTCTAAAATCAATAAAAACATATTTTAAAAAGAGATTGAAATGAATGGGACATTTTAATTCCACTGAACAATTGTTAACTGCCTATGTACAAGGAGGCCCCGGAAAATATTAATACTAAAAACAGATAGGCAAATGAGTAGCTGCCCTTTCAAGATCTCTTTAGGAAGCTATGTGCTTACCACTCCAACACTCCAAATATTTCCAGAACTTCTTTTTGTAACTATATTCAGTCAGTTTACAGGCAGCCAACATAAACTTTACAGTTTATATGACATTATAATACACTATTATTTAAATTAAAGTTTAAGGCCACTACAACAACAAATGTCTCCAAGCCCTTTGACTTCTTGCTCTCCTAGTAACAATATTTGGTTCTATCCTGGGACCTGCTCCCCACACTCAGAAGTTAATAATTAACCACCACTGAGGAAATCTGAAACCGGGCATCTCAAGCCCCAGAAGGAAATCAGAAAGCAGAATTCTGCCAAGGTTTAGAGGAACGAATGTATAAGCTCCCCAAATCAAAGCTACTGTTGATAAATGGAGTCATCTTCATTGGGGTTGATTTAATTTCGATATTCATTTTTGATATACTGCACTTTTTCTTCTTATTCCCTCCCTGTTCCTCTCCCTGACCCTCTTACTGGTTTTTATTTTATATTTTTGAGAGCCGCGCACACTAAAATACAAGATGTAAACACAGAGAATGGAGAGAAATACCCAAGGAGAGGGAAAGTGTGGATGGGTGCTTCAATGGGTCCTTGTTCTCCCTGCTAATGGGAGTGTTTCCTTGTTCAATTCAATGACCGAATTACATCTGAGGCACCATGCTAGACAAAAGCTACCCTGAAAAACAGCTCTGGCCTGAAAAGGCGTGTTTTGCTGGAACTCTCCTCATTCCTTGACATTTGCAACCGACTAAAGATACTCATATGCATGGAAACAAAACGTGGCATGAGGGGGCTGCAGGCCACGAGTGCGCTCCTCATGTTCTTGTTGCAGCTGCTCCCCGAGGCCGGGCGCTACTCACACTTGAGGGCGCTGAAGGCCAGCTCATAGGCCAGGTGCTGGAAGGACCCGTCCTCGGACCCGCTGGACAAGGGCCGCAGGGGCTCCTTCCCATACTTGATCAAGACTTTCTCCGGTGACGTTTCCACTCGGATGCCCTGGAAGACGTTCGCTGCCATAACGTACACGGGGTCCGGATACCCAGTTTTGTCGGGGGTACCGCCTGCGTCCTGCTCGCTGGACACTTCGTCGTCAGACAGCGCCAGGCAAGCGAGCTGGGAGAGCTCCTCGGCGTTGCTTTCGTTGGGAAACTGCAGTTCACTGGGCTCCAGCATGGCTGCCCCCGACCCGCCCTCGGTTACAATTCCGATGTTCCGGGAAAAGGTTTCGCTGGTGCCTTAAGCATCGTCTGTGTGGAAAGGAGAGGTTATCTCAGCACATCCCTCACTCTCTCTCTGCAGGACCACGCCGGCGCCCCCCTCGGCTGTGGCCTTCGAGGCTGAGAGGTGACATGTACTGGCCGATCCGAGCATCCTCGACGCCGAGCCCGACAAGCCCCCGCGAAGTCACACACTCAAGAGGGGAGAGGGATGGAGACAGCTGGGGAGTCGCCTCCCAAGCGACCTGGGCTTTCCCCCAGGCCGGCGGGGGGACCCAGCCCCCCAAGGAGCCGCCTCTCCCGCCCCACGGGCGCCCCTCTCGCCAGCTCCCGCGACCCCTCTTTTATCCCCCAGGGCGGACGTTTCCCGGGTCTTGGGGACACAGAGGCGACAGGGCGCACACCAGGGCTGGCGACTGGAAAGGCGCCCTCGGGAGCCCGGGACGACGGCGGGCGACGGAGGCCAGCGAGGGCCGTTTGGTGCCAATGCAGCCTCTCCCACTGGCGGGTTCGGGGCAGGGGCCGGGGCCTCCGGCGCTCGCCTCGCTGGGGTTTCGAGGAGGAGGACGCGCCGCAGCGCCTCGCCAGCCGCGCGCGGTCACTCGTCGCGGGCGTGGCGGCTGAGCCGGTGGAACGCGAGCCGATGGACCCCGCGGGCTCAGGCCGCCGCTGGTACGCCTCCTCCGCCTCGGGGAGCTCTTCCGCCTCGGGTCTAGTCTCCATGGCAACCGGGAACGGGGCGGAGGGCGCGGGCGCCTGGGGGCGGGGCGCCGGACGCCGCCCGAGGGCAGTTCCCGCGGGATTTGGCCCGGGCCGCCTGGGGCTCCGCGAGTGGCTCTTCCCGCCTCTCGGGACACCTGTGCCAGCCCCGCCCACCCCGACGTCGCGCGACCCCAGCGCGGACTGGGGGTCCTTGACTTCCCCAGAGTGGCGAGTGGCCCCTCTTTCCCGACACACCCCCCGTGGCTCCCGGAAAGCCAGATGTTGTGTCGCTGACAGCACCCAGTTTAGCGGGGTTAGCAGAGGCGCAGGAAATGCCAACAGGTGGGTGTAGAACTACTGATGAAAAGGGAAAAAAAGGAGAGACTTAATGTAGTCCGTGGTTTTTTGTTTGTTTGTTTTTAAATATATTTTATTGATTTCAGAGAGGAAGGGAGAGGGAGAAAGGGATAGAAACATCAATGGGAGAGAATCATTGATTGGCTGCCTCCTGCATGCCCCCCACCAGGGATCGAGCCCGCAACTAGGGCATGTGCCCTTGACTGGAATCGAACCTGGGACCCTTAAGTGGCAGGCCGATGCTCTACCCACTGAGCAAACCAGCTAGGGCCCATGGTTGCTTTTTTACAACAGTAGCTGACACGTTAGACGGACTCTCCCGGGGTAAGTTCTTTAAAGATCTCTGCCAACTTGAGACCACATCCCTCCTTTATAGACTTTGCCTGCAGAGACAGGCGCTGCTGAAATGGACCTAGGAAAGATCAAATTCGCCCCACCCTCCAAATTATGGAATGCAACGGGGAACATATATAAACCACCCCTGAGGGTTTTAATCTGGCTATTTTTAATTTTTGAGAGCCCTAGAACAAAGCCTGCATCAAAGAAAAGTCTTAAACATGGAAAAATACTCATTGATTTCTAGAATAAAACCACATGACTGAGATTTGAGTTTATTGTTGAGTTTCTGTGCATTTTAAACACTTCATTGATGGCCTTTAAAACCTATTTTGTTATCTTCGAAGTGCATGTTCTAAAACCAAAAAAGAAAGGAAAAGATTGCTTTATTTTTCTATGGCTACTTTGTATCTTCTCCAGCCAATTTCAGGTCTGGTAGTCTAATAATTTTAATGCCATTTGAAATATCTAGAGCCTTTTTGCATACACTCTAATTTCTTACAGTAAAATTCAGTAAACTAATATAAACGTGAATACATAAAGGTCATGCAATGAAATGTCACATGTATGTACTTTACATTTCCTGGTTTAGAAAAACCTTTTGTAAAATAGAATTAGGCATTAAATTATGAAAGAAACTTGATAAATTTTGTTTCAAGGTAAACAATTAAATCTTTTAAAGAAATTAATAAAATACATGCTAATATCTATTTAAAAGAAAAAAAAATCTGCTAGGTACTTGGTCCCTATTTTCTCCATAAGGTAAAAACAGAACAAAGTCTACAAGATGAGTGAAGTTCTTAATTCTGGACTGAGATCAAACAAAGTCATATGAAAAAGCTTGCAAGTGCAAGCATGCTAAATATACTTACGGTCAATAACTCTAGAGACCCTACTGACTCCTGTTTAGGAATCTCAGAAATTTGCCCAACTATTTTGTAGAAGTGGTCCAATCTGGAAAGTAAACACAATTCACACTAACATTATTATGCATACTCAGGGATTCTAAGTTGTGGTCCCTAGTCCTTCTCGTGGTGTGTGAAATAGGAAGGGCTAGACTTTGGCATTTGATTAACTTGCATCTGTGAAATCTTAGGCAAGTTTTTAACATCCCTTGGCCTCAGTTTGGCACCATTCAATTTTTATTATAAATATTTGCACCCAGCTGGTGTGGCTCAGTGGTTGAGCGTCAGCCTATGAACCAGGAGGTCACGATTTGATTTCCAGTCAGGGCACATGCCTGGGTTGCAGGCTCAATCCCCAGTGTGGGGTGTGCAGGAGGCAGCCAGTCAATTATTCTCGCTCATCATTGATGTTCTATCTCTTTCTCTTTCTACCTTGCTCTTTGAAATCAATAAAATATATATTTTAAAAATAATAATAAAATTAGTGAACATATCTGTATTTCTCCTCCATCTTCCTTTTTTCTACCCACACAACCTGAACAACACATATACATGCTCTAAAATTGTTTTATTTTTATTACATATTATATCTTTTTATTCCCAGAAGTTAGCAAAATATTGTTCTCTTTAACACACACATGCACAGAAGATTATACATATAAGATGTCTTAGGAGTTATGGTGCATTTTATTATTCATCACATAGTACACAGTACATTCTGCTGAAAATATGAGCTAAAAGCCAGCTATAAACTTAAGATAATACTGTCTTTCAAAATATTATTTGAGAAGCTTCTTGTCTTTTATGATAGATCAATATGAGTGACAATCCATTGTATTGAAAAATAGATTTAATGAGAGTCTTTACCACCAAAATAAAGCATAGGCGAACAGTTGTGGGTTAGTGAACTCATTGTTGCTATTTAATCGTGTGTATAATCCTGCCTCCTTACCTCTCACTTCTGGGTTATGGACTCATTGTGGAGGGGAGGGCCCAAGGGAAGCACATTCAATCTCAGTGTGCAGTGTACTAAAGTCACCATAGAGATAGGTGTGTGGAGTCAATGGCTGTGAAAGCAGAGTAGTAAAAAAATGTCGGCTTTGTTTAGGTCACACTCTGTCATATGATCAGAACATTACATTAGAGATGGTGTCGAAACTAAAAAGTTAGTTACCGGGAGCTTTCTGCCAAAGGAACTTAACGGAGTGCTTTTCTTTCCCCAGGGGGTGAGTATTGGATATGTTTGTAGATTAACATTCCTGTGATTTGGCCCAGAGTAGCTCCTGTGTGTTCGCCAAATAGGTGTTCAAAATGCATTTGCTCACTTGGTTCAATTTGATCTGGGTGTATAAACTGCTCAGTTCCTCTAAAGCAACAGTTCTCAGCCTGTGGGTCGCGACCCCTTTGGCGGTCGAACGACCCTTTCACAGGGGTCGCCTAAGACCATCCTGCATATCAGATATTTACATTACGATTCATAACAGTAGCAACATTACAGTTATGAAGTAGCAACGAAAATAATTTTATGGCTGGGTCACAACATGAGGAACTATATTTAAAGGGCCAGAAGGTTGAGAACCACTGCTCTAAAGCCTATTATAGAAATGTAAAAAGCATATGAAAACTAAAGACTTATAACTTGTGTTCTTAAACACCAGGATGCAATTTATAATTATTGCTATTTAGAAATGGGAATTCATGGTCAGAGCTGAAATATCCCATCCCCAAAGGAGGGGATAAGGGCTAGATGCCCAAGAAGGCAGGAGACTCACCCCAGTTAGGTGAGTATCATCCTCTGATGTGGGTGAGAGTTAGTATGAAGGAATGTTTTACGACGTATTGAAAAGGGTAGCATTACTCAAGCGTGCTCTTGCTAGTAGTCCTTATGGAAACTTGTCTCAAGCAACTTGAAAAGGATGTCATAAGCTCATAATGCAAACATCCCTTTGCAAAAAACAACAGGTGATTGTGGGTGGGTTATTCAACACAAGACCATTAATAATGAATGATTAGCCCTGACTGGTTTGGCTCAGTGGATAGAGCGTTGGCCTGCGGACTGAAAGGTCCTAGGTTCGATTCCCGTCAAGGGCATGTACCTTGGTTGCTGGCACATCCCCAGTGGGGGGTGTGCAGGAGGCAGCTGATCGATGTTTCTCTCTCATCGATGTTTCTGACTATCTCTCTCCCTTCCTCTCTGTAAGAAATCAATAAAATATATTTTAAGAAAAATAATGAATGATTAGTCAAAAGAGCCATATTCACTTGCAGAGAGGAAGCAGCAGAAGACTGGATAGGACAAAGAGTTCTAAAGGGTAGGGCACGTGGAGAGGAACAAAAGTCTACACCATAGTCATTCAGAGATGGTGCCATTAGAAATAATGCTCTGAAATTTAGAAGCCAAAAATGACAACAGCAACTAAGGAAGAGTTTGAGTTACCTAGATACAAGGGGAAAGGCAGATTCAAAAGACTTATCATTCCAGCCCTTGATTGTCCTTTGTGGCCCAGGAGAAACAAGGATTACAACAGACAATCACTGTAGTAGAGTAAACGAACACAGTAATTTCATAGAGTTGGTTATTCAAGCACCACTTGCAAGACTTTTTCGCCATATTCAAATATTTACTTAATGTTTTCTTTTAAATCAGATTCACTTTTTTTTTTTTTACTTAAGTAGAACTATAAATGGAAAATCAACATGATAAGCCATAAATTAAAATAACCACAACAAAAACAAATTCTGAAATTCTAGCTGGAAACAGTTGTGCTAAGGCTCCTGGCTTGAGGTTGACTGTTCTTGGTTAAAGGGCAGATGGGCAATATACGTGTTAAACACGGGTATAGAAATGAGATTTTTCTCCTTGCCAGAAGGATCAAAAGAGCATTGAATAAAGCAGCTTTTTTTGCTATGTGGTTAAATGTTATTCAATGCCAAGTCTGCATACCACTTCAGATCATCTCTCATATCTTCAGTGGTGCTCAAACCACACTTGAGAAAACACTGCATTAAGAGATTTAAATTCAAGAGTTAGAGGACAAGTGGTTCCTCTGAAACAAGAGGGAGAAAATACAAAAATTTAGAACTGGCAAGAAAGAAATTAGAAGGATCTCATGTCAGATGAGTTTAGTCTATTTACATGGCATAATGGTAGTAGGAATTTTAAAGCTTGGTAGAATCTGAAGACCTGGTTTTTAGTTCTAATTTTGTGATGAATTAGTTGCATAACCCCATGAGAAGGCCCTCCACTGTATATTTGAGTCTTGATTTGTTCAAGTCTATGCTTAATTTACTATGAAAGAAGTGGGTGGAGATGGATTTAAAGCATGGAACAGAATGCAGAATCTTGGAGGGAAGGCAGGGAAGGGTGGGTGGGTGGGAGATAATCAAACAAAGACTTTG